GAATGAGATAGAGTTTCCTAATAAACTAAATGTTAAAGAAGAGCATGGAATGCCTGATATCTGTAAATATTTTCTAGAATCACGCAAAGCTCCCAAACTTGAAGATAAAGTTGGAGAACTGCTGAGAGCATATAAAGACCTGGGTGCTAGGATGTCTTTAAAAACACATTTCTTGCATAGTCATCTGGATTTTTTCCAGAGAAACTTAGTGCGGTCTCGGAAGAGCATGGAAAACGTTTTCACCAAGACATTAGCACTATGGAGAAGCACTACCAAGAACAATGATGGGCGACTACTGTTGAATACTTTGGAAGAAATGTGAAACCCCGCAGAGAAGAAAATTGAAGAAAACACTTTTAATGAAATGTTAAGTTCCATAGCAGCAAACACAAAATATGAAACAACAACAAAAAATGAAAAAAGCAACAACAAAAATTAACCAAACTCAAATACCTTATATATAAGTAAACATTCAATTCAAATACAAGCCTACTATAATTAGAGAGACGGATAATAATAAGTTATATATGCAAGCATATCACATATGCTGTTTATTTTTACTATTAAGATTTATATACTATCTAAAACTTAAATATATTAGTATATTGGTACTATACATTGTAATAAGACAATTTTTATGATATACCTTAAAAATAATTAATATATTTATTTTTAATGCTGTTCTATACGCTTTTTTGTCTACACCAGAATTTAAATAAAGTTATGTAATCTAAGAAACCAAGGAAACTTTCATCCAGTCCTACCTCATGATTTTTAAATTGTTTTATTATTTTTTAATAGAAAACGGAGAAAAAAATCTATAAAAAAAAAAAAATGAAACTAAAAGAACACAATGATTTCATACATTTAGTGTGCTTTCTTTGTCTTTCTAAAGAAAAGAAAGATAGCCCACAATTTAGGCTTATCAAACCAAGGGAGTATGGTGAAATGAGTATAAATTATTCTGAAAATATCATAAAAAATGATTGCTGGAAAGAATATAATTTTGGAAATTCTACCTATTTATTTTTCTAACAAAATATCGGTTGAACACAATAATATCGGTTGAACACGATGAAATTCAGCACCTTTTAATCGTTAATTACTCAAAACTATTTGACAAATATTTTTAATTTTTTTGCACAAAGAAGCTAATGTGTTGTTGTTTGATTGTAATGGTAATAAGTATTGGTTATCATTGTATTAAAACAAGTAAAGAAATATTAAATCAAAAAGAAGTTGAAATTTAAAAAATGACTGTTGTTTCTCGATCATCAGTTAAATTTATTTTGCGGCAATACAGACTCAATTTATTGAAAAAGAAGCTGGAAACCTATTGCAAAAACGACTTTTCACAATTGTCACAGCAGCAATATTTTTATCAGTTGAAAGGTTGATATGTTGCCAAAAAATTCAAGTATATTCAAACTGAAAGTTTGTTCTTTATATGCTAAGCAATCTTTTCCAATTGTTTAAAAAGTACACCATACATTACTTGTAAAAATTTGAACGCGATTTTTATATAAAAGAATGCTTAATGAAACGCCTTTTGCCATTTATTAAAAAGCATGAAATGCCCACAATATTTTGACCTGATTTGGCTACAATTCACTACTCCAAGAAGCCTCTAGAATGGTGTGAACAAAATGGCGCCGAATTTGTTCTTAAAGAAGCAAATTCTCCAAATTGTCCTAAGCAGCAAATTATTGAATGTTATTGGTCAATTATAAAAAGAATCTTATTGAAAAGTAAGGAAATAGCTACAAATAAAAAAGATTAAAAAAAAAAAAAATGGATAGCCACCTCAAAAAAAGTCAAACTCAAAGCAAGATTTAGCAGATGATGTCAAGTACTCGCAAAAATATTTGGTTTCTATCTAAGCGTCCGCTAAAAAATGTAAAAATTATGGAAATAAATAAGCAATTAAACTATCTTTATTGTCTCAAAAAATTAAAAAAATCTGTTAAGTAGTTTTTGCATGATTAACAATTAAAGGGTACTGAATTTCATTGTGTTCAATCGATACGAAAGTAAGTAACATTTAAAAAGTAAAAAAATTAGTGTATTTAATGTCAGATAAAAATTATATTATTTTAATCTCGTAAAATACAGCTTAGAGTGATAAAATTTGTCTTTAGGTTTGAACCAAGAGTTATGAGAGGAGCCAGATGCGAATGTTTTATATGTATAAAAGGTCGCAAAATTATTAAAGGTAAAGAAAATAAGACTCATATAGTGCAAAGTTTCTCGCAATCAGTAAAGAAAAGAAATAAAATTGGAAAGACACCTTCAAAAAGTCAGGCCAACCTGTATGTACTGCTTCAAAAAAAACAAGAAAAATTCTGCGTCATCCCTGCAATAAAACACAGAGATAGAAAAACTTGTCAAAGTTCTTACAGGCTGCTTCAACTAAAACTAAAGGTGTGATAATTATATATTTATAATAGTTTATAAAGTAAATTAGTTTAATGTTACACTAGTTAAAAATAATTTTTTAATTTATTTTAATTGAAAACCAAAATATTGTCATATATATTGTAAGATTTTTTTCAGAAAGAGTTGTCTTCTACTTTTAAAAATATGACTAAATAAATCAAAGTAACTTTTGGACGAAATAAATGTTCGGTTTATTTTGCCAATATTGAAATTAAGAAACCGCATTTAAGTTTAGAGAAACTGAAAATGCTGCAAAATAAGCAATAATTAAAATATAGTTTTTGATTTTATGATTATAGACCTATGAAATATAAAACTTATATAATATAACTAAAAATAAAAACCTAAAAAAGTAAAACTTATATCAAATGCTAAGTTTCTTAGGTACAAGAGAAGGTCTGTTGCAAACAACTACAGAGCTGTAAGAGTTATAGAAAATTCATGAGTAGTTCCCTTATTTTAATTTTTAATTGTTTTCACAAAAGATTAAGTGAGAAATTTATATGAAAGGTTATATATTGATTATTGATTTTTTTAATTTAATCAAACAATGATTTCTTTAGCATATTGAACAAGAGGTTCCAGGGGTAATTTGCAATGATGTAGAGAAGCTGATATATGATGAACCACACAAAACTGAAACCACAGGAAGATTCATAATAAAGTGGGAATAGATGGTGGACAAGGATTTTTAAAGTGAACTGCCTCTATAACATATAAGCCTGATAAAAGAGATCAGAAAACTCCTCAAAAGAAAACAAAATATTCAGAAGGCTATGAATAAAAAACCTTTAGTCTAGCAATTGTACCTCACATGAATAAAAGTTATGTAAAGTTAAAAACACTTATTTATTAATATTCAATTTTTTAAAAAAAGTTGATATTTTAAATAGATTTTTTTATATACATGGTCTTGGTATTCAATGGGACAAATATATTAAGGCCCTAATATCTTTCAAAAAAGTTATAGAAGGATGTTTTGGGAAAATATTGTATAAAACTTACAAATATGATATCAAAAACTTCACAGATGACTACAGAATCTTAGGACCAGTGTAACAGTTAAAGTTTATATTGCAGAGTTTAATGACCTTAAAAAGGAAACATAAGGTAAGTCTTTTTTTTTTTACAGGAAATATCTATTAGAAAATATTAAATATTTAGGTAAATAATTGGAAATTCTTTGGACTTTATTTTATATTTAAACAAATAAAAAATGTTTTGAATTAATTTATATTTTATCTAAAAAATATTTAGGCCTTGGTTATAGGACGGAACAGGCTTTGGAAACAGTACACCAGGATTTCAAGAAATTTTGGAATCTCATTTATTCATTAAAAAACATTAAAAAATGCTGTTGCAGCATACAATATTGCGCACTTTTAAAATACATAGTAGAGTAATTTATGTAAATTATTTAATAAGTACACAATAAGTCATTTTGTGCTGTGGATATCGAAGCTTTTTGAAACAAATAAACTTACTAAAAAAACAAATAAGACGTAGAAAATAAAACGTATACTATAGTTACTTTATAGTTATAATAATATATAATTATAATAAGTTATAATAATATATAAGTTATAATAATAGTTAATAGTTATACAGAATTTTATATAATTTACAAAATAGTGCTATATATCTGTAATATTATGCATAAATATTCACTAATGACATAACTTTTATTTATTTTTTCACATTTTGCGGTGTTTCATTCCTTATCAATATATGAACAATACTGTTATAGAATTACTTACTTTAATCCTAAATTAATGTTTATTATTATTGATATTTAAATTGTTCTATTATATTTAAACATTTCTGAAATAAATAAAGACAGCATTGGCAGTTCATGTTATTTTTTGCACTTTTACTAAGAAATTCATAAAAAGGAAATTTTTTATTTTCAAAAACGACTTTTCACAATTGCCACAGCAGCAATATTTTTATCAGTTGAAAGGTTTATATGTTGCCAAAAAATTCAAGTATATTCAAACTGAAAGTTTGTTCTTTATATGCTAAGCAATCTTTTCCAATTGTTTAAAAAGTACACCATACATTACTTGTAAAAATTTGAACGCAGATTTTTATATAAAAGAATGCTTAATGAAACGCCTTTTGCCATTTATTAAAAAGCATGAAATGCCCACAATATTTTGACCTGATTTGGCTACAATTCACTACTCCAAGAAGCCTCTAGAATGGTGTGAACAAAATGGCGCCGAATTTTTAAATTAATGTTTATTATTATTGATATTTAAATTGTTCTATTATATTTAAACATTTCTGAAATAAATAAAGACAGCATTGGCAGTTCATGTTATTTTTTGCACTTTTACTAAGAAATTCATAAAAAGGAAATTTTTTATTTTCAAAAAACCCCGTACCATCGTTTTAATTTTAACAGATTTGAGTTGAGAAATGTAACACCTTTCAAATATTCTATGATAAAATTGGAGACAAAAAAAAAAAATTTGATCATGCTTAGGCCCACTGTGATTCAGTCAAATCATAAAAAGTCGTGTAATTAAATTAAATAAATTAATAGTTAATAATAATAAAAATTAAATAACAAGCTCCCTGGTTTTGTCATAAAGTGTTACATTAATATCAAACATAAATTAAAAGTAACAGCTACAATAAAATAAATTGTATTACAAATATCATTATATTAATTTTGCATATAAAACGTGTATTTTAGAGATGAAAATGTTAAAACTCAAGAAACCAGTATAATAAAAGGTGTAATAAAGTAAACAACGCAAATGTAAAGTTACTTTTTAAATGCACTTTATTTAAAATATCAAATGATTTTAATTTTTCAATTTAATAATAATAATAAAAATAAAAAAACATAAAAAAAGTAAAAACAAATATATTAAAATATCTCTTCCTCTGTGTCCATCATAATAACTTCATTCATTTTTGTAACTTTGACCTTTTTTTTATTATTATGATTGACAACATTCATACTATCAATAAACTTTTTAAATAAATCTTCATCGAATATTTGATCGATTGTTTCACTTATTTCAATATCAAGTTTACTCTCGTTCAATAAGTAATCGAATTTCGAGAATAAATTTTCGAATGAAACGTTAGTTAATTCAACAGCATATAGTTTTTTATATTCCACTAAGAACAAACAACATTAATAATACTAAATTAAAAATTAATGACAAAATTTATAATATTGAACTTAAAACCATGACATAAATACTTATGCGTCAACATTAACATCAAATAATAGATTTATAAAATGAGTTTTTCAAAGGGACAACTACTAAAATGTACATACCAAATAAATAAATAAAAAATAAGGACAATAAAAGATTGTAAAAAAAAATCTTTTACTTTAAACTACATTTTTTTAAATCTTTATTTAACCTTTTCTGATGGAATCGTTTTTTTTTAAACGTTTATCAACATATTCTGCAACTTGTATAATTTTACTATTTGAGGATAATTTCCTTTCTGACTGTACTTGTGTCTGGGTCTGTGGTATTCTTTGTTTAAGTTTAAACCAACCTAATGTAACAATATGTAATCGTTGTAAAGCTCAGAATTTTAATATTTTTTTTCATTCTTCTATAACAAATATATAAAGAACTTTGTAAACAATTTCTATGAAAATAAATCATAAAATTAAAAAAACACCTTTAATGCGTTTTAACATAAAATCAACTATCTCATAATCATTATTCTGGAACTCATTATTTGCACGAACCATGCTAAAAGCATCATTTAAAATAGATATAAACACGTTCATTATGATCCAAATTACTGTAACATTGAAACCGAAAAAAAAAACTGGGCCAAGAACAAGGTTAGCACGTTCATATTGACTAAAACTAAACTTTCCCAATAATAATGAAACTGTCGAAACTATTGCTTCGTTGTAAGTTTTGTACTCACCCATTAATGCACCTAAAGCAATTTATTTTAAACGAACAATAAAGTTATAAGTTTAGGATGATCACAAACTGATAAACATTTTTAGTTTACATACATTTCAAATATTTTAACAAAGATTCCAGTTTTTAAAGCTATATATATATATATATATATATATATATATATATATATATATATATATATATATATATATTTATATATATATATATATATATATATTTATATATATATATATATATATATATATATATATATATATATATATATATATACATATATATATATATATATATATATATATATATATATATATATATATATATATATATATATATAAATATATATATATATATATATATATATTTATATATATATATATATATATATATATGTATATATATATATATATATATATATATATATATATATATATATATATATATATATATATATATATATATATATATATATATATATATATATATATATATATATATATATATATATATATATATATATATATATATATATATATATATATATATATATATATAGGGCAAGTAGGGCAACTAATATATCTCAAAACTATTCACCACATGGCAAAACTTCTAATGCATAAAATATGGTATTTAAAATGGTAACAAAATGCGCATAAAATGGTTGTTGGACCGCGGAACAGTAACATGCACGGACACTTTTTCGACACACACACATTTATATATTATATATATACATATATATATTAAATATATAGATATATATAATACATATTATATATATATATATATATATATATATATATATATATATATATATATATATATATATATATATATATATATATATATATAATATATATATATATTATATATATATTATATATATATTATATATATATATTTTATATAGAATATGTTTTGCAGTGTTAAATAATGTTGCCTTTGGTAGGGCAACATCATATAACGCTGCAAATGTAAAAGTATTTTTTGATAAGCTAGGTGAAGTTATGGATGTATAAAAACGTTGACAAAAGTAGTGTATCTACAGTTGTAAACCTAATTAAATTGTGGCTGCAAAGGGCAAGAGAAATTTTGATGCTATGACATCTGGGGAAAGGAAACCGTTGTATTTTTTTTAAAAAATACAGTACCTCCAATGTCTGTGTTCCCTCACAAAAATTACACAGATAATTTCGTTAATAATGGTCCACCGGACTATATTGGGGTAGATAAAGGAAGCGGCTAGGTTGCAAATATTGAATTCAAAAATTTTTTACAATCACTCTACTCAATTGCATTTTAAAACACTAAACTTAGCAAAGGAGAATGAAATAGTCATGCTGTCTTTCCCACCACACTGCAGCCATAAGCTGCAGCCACTAGATGTATTAGTGTTTGGACCTTCTAAAAAGTACCTATTAGTTTCACAAAATACATGGCTGAGAAACAAGCCTGGAAAAGCCATAACAATTTATGATACACCAAAAATTGCATTTGATTAATTGCCATAAGCTATAACGTGTACTAACATTACAAAGGGTTTTCTAATAACTGGTGTATACCTGTACAATGCAAACGTTTTTGCTGATGAATTTTTACCATCATTTGTCATAGATCGTATAGAACCAGCAACTTTTGTATCTGAGCTTTCACACGGAGCCCATTTTAAAGTACGTTTAACACCATCTTCAGGTCAATCTGTCAAAAATAGTATTAATAGGGAAACAACGTTACTTATTCCTGAAACTCCAAAAACATTTTCTCCAGAAACTGTGCAACCTTACGCAAAAGCAGCACCAAGAAAGATACATTTTACAAGAAAAAAGAAAGCTGCTATTCTAACAGATACTCCAGAAAGAATTATATTAAAACAGCAGCAAACTAAGAAACTTAAAAAAGTTAAGAAACAAAAAAAATATCTACTTCAAATATTATTAGTTTTTAGGAAACGCTAGATTTTTAAGTTCAGCTTTAAAATATAAAATTTCAAACACTTATATTATCTATACCTACTTGTGCTAATCAATTGAGTTAATGTCGATCACTGTGCGGTTGTTATCACTGCAAAGAGCATGACGACAAAAGATCATTAAAAAAGTTTAAATTATCTATTATGTAAAATGTGGACTAATAATATTTCTGGTAACACAAATTGCCAGAAATATTGGCATATGAAAATATATTATTTATAAAAACAAATACATTCTTTTACTAAATATATAAACAATATTCTTTTATTATATTACTTTATTTTCTATACCTCATACTAATATTTTATAATAACTAAATAACATATATATATATATATATATATATATATATATATATATATATATATATATATATATATATATATATATATATATATATATATATATATATATATATATATATATATACGTATTTATTTGTATATATATAATATTTATATATAAAGTTTCAAATGTATGTTTGATGATCAATAATGGGTGGCAAGTTGAAAATGGGACAAAGTTTTAAGAGACGTTACTCCCTTATTTTTCAATATTTTTCGAAAAAGATTCAATTAGATTATTTATTGCACATTCTTTATTGTAAAAAGTTTTATTGATCTTTAATTCAGCCATGTTGTCTAACAAAATTAATAAGAGCTTGAGGCTGTTAAGCAAGAGGTTTTACACTGATTATGTAAACTTCTTTAAGGCATATCTCAATCTTTTTGCGCAGATGGTCTAAACTTTTTGCTTGCCAATTCTTTGTGTAAACCTTGCCTTTTAGAAAACTCTAGAAATTTTAGATTAAGCGTAATTCTGGGACATTTGGGGGACTAATCTTCTTTTTGGACAAATTTCACCTTTTTAGCTTTCAGGTAAAAAATGATAAATTTTATTTTATGCTTCAATACTAAGTCAAACAATTATTTAGACATTATCTAAATGATGCTCTGCAATGAACAGCTTCATTATCTTTTGAATATACTTGCTCAAGTAGACTTGCTAGTTGATTGCCATGGTGGTTCAAAGGAAGAACAGCTTTGAAATGCCATGCACTGAAAAACTAAGCCAGACGAGCTGTTTCTCCTGATATTTGACTATTGGGTCATAATTGACACTTGCAAGAGTTACTGAAACATCGCTAGAAAATACAGTTACCTTTGATGTACAAGTGAGATAAAGTGAAGTACGATTCATCATCCAAAATGCTTTTTTTTACAATTTTTTTACTAATGTAAAAAAATTGTAAAGAAATTTCGACAGCTTCTTGGTTTAATCTTTGTTTTCACTTCAAGATTCTGACTTTCTTTCTTGCATGCTTGGACAGGAATGGTGTGCGATTGAACGCTGTAACTAACCACGCTTACAATATTCTTTATAATTTGACCATGGTGGTTTTGATGCCATAATAACAATTGTTACATGACTAATAACTTTTAGTCGTTGATCTTTTCTTAAATTTTTACTTTATGCGAAGGTTTTAAATAAAATAAAAAAGTAATAAGGGTGATTGTTTAAAACAATCACCGTTTTAAACAATCACTCTTATTGATTGTTTTTGTGTAAATTAACCTATGTAATATATATATATTTTTTAATGTAGGCATGTTTTATGATAAATTTAAATATAACAATTTGTTTGAAACTATTTTTCAATATCTTTCGAAAAATCTTTTGAAAGATTTTTTTTTAAGTTATTTTAAATTATGAATAAGTTACATTAAATCATCTTTTACAAAGGAATGATTTAATTGCTTTATTTATTATTATTATTTTTTTTGTTTCTGTTTTTACAAAGAACTGTTTAAGCTTTTTTTTAAAACTTGACTAAATAATCAGAGCATGAAATGATTAAAAATTTTAAACAGAGTATAATACTTTTTGAATATATTTTTTGTACAATTTTTTGAAAAAAAAAGATGTTTTTACAATTTAAAAATAATATATAAAACACTTTTTAGTAATTTAATTAAAATTTGTTTATTCATTAAATAATCGTTAGAAAACATTTGTAAAAGTGTTTTTCGTAACCTTTAATAAAACATTTTAAAAATTAAAATCTAATTAACTTATTTTAAACGCAATTAAAAAAGTAATAAAAAGTAATTTTTTCTTCAAGTTTGAGTTTTTTGAGTTTTATTTTAGTGCTTATATATTTTCTTTTTCGTGAAGAATTGTTTTCTTTTTCCATAACTTTTTTTCTTTTTAGCTTAGCTAGCGTTTTTTTTTTAGTGCATCTCTAAAATAATTAAAAATCATTTAATCATCAAAACAGTTGTGGTCAAGTTGTCAAAAAATAAAATCATATGCGTGGTCAGCAGTAGCGTTTGATCACATGCCATTCCTGAAAAAACCTGTTCTTGTATGGGTAGAAGACTTGTTTTTGAGTGTCAGAGAGATGTATTTCTGACTGCATTGAAATTGTCCAGCTGCTTGGCATCGCAAAACAGTGTCCTTAAGATCAAACATCACTTTTAGTTGCTTTATGTTGGTTTTGGTCATGATTACCAGTTGCCATTACCCTTGGCTCTTTAGTAGCCAGATTTGTTTTCAGCATGGTTGATATTCTGATAGATAAGACTTCTTGGTATTTTCTTAGCTACAAAGTACTTAACGGTGAATAGTTTTCTGGTATGCTTAATGTTAACATTAATAGTTTTCTGGTGTGCTTCAATGTGCTTAATGGTGAACAGATCTATTGGCTAGATAAAACTCATACAGATGTTTTCTTTGCATTATGTATTCACCCATGTATTTTGGTTTTAATTTTGAAAACAATTTCTAAAGCAAATACAGATAAATGATCAGCGTAAAATTTGCTATAAACTTAGTATTGACATTAACATAAATAATTTGAAAAGACATATTATTTTGTCAAATAAACTGTGTCCCATGTTCAACTTGCCACCCGTTAAATGAAAAAAAAACTGTTAACACAACACCTAATAACTTATTATAAATAATTTTATATTGAACCATCAAACGAAAGTAATTGATCAACTTATTTGCTTTTTACCTATTTCATTAAAAATAAATTAAAAAAAAATCAGAACTTTACCAAAGGCAATATTAGAAAAAGTAACAAATGAACACAAAATGATAAAAAAGACAATTCCAAACATTGATAAAGGATACCATGCAGCTTTTAAAGTATAAGATATCATTGAAACATGATGATTGAACTGCAAAAGTTTAATGAACTTTAAAGTCACAAAGAAAACGATTAGTGAAACAATGCACACATACAACATATCACAGTAAGATGCAAACTGGAAATTGATAAACACCTGTGGTTTTTTATCTGGAAGCCGTTGCAATAAAACTTTGGCTAGATAATCTTAAAAAATGGATATATTTGTAAAAAGTAAAAGACTTTAAAAATTTGACTAATTAAATATATAGAATGTAAATAAATTTAATGTTTATAAATCAATAAAAATAATCAAAATAACAAACATATTTATAACAATAAAGATTATAATAATAAGATTAGTTATTAAAAGTCTTAAAATATTTTTTATTATTTCTTAACAAATAAAAATTATTTAATAATCACCTTTGTAAATTATTTTAAAATTTATCTGAAACAATATATTCTATGCAAATGGATCAGAGGTGTTTGGTTTAACTAATTTTCATTTTTTTTAAAATTTTTTAATACACAAACATTTTTAAATACACAATACTCAGCCAGAAGCAAAAAAATAATCCAATTTTAAATTAACAAATTTTATTATCAACTTTTTATTTTTTAGTTATATAAATAGTCTATTTGCTTTACTTTTTACTTTTTTTTATTCATATAAATAGTGTATTTTATTTATACTATATGATTTATTCAAAAAAGTAAAATGAAATAAAATCATGAATGTAGTTACATTCATGGTTTTATTTTACTTTATTTTTTCTCTATAAATCATATTTAAATCCAAATTCTAAAAAATACACAAAATATTTACAAATTTTCAAAAAATATTCCATAAATTAATAGACAGTTTGCTCCAATAAAAATCCTAAATCAAAGTTTTTACACTTAGCAACTAATTAAATCAGTACAATACATACACATCTACGTAAATAACAAACACAATAATTCTTAAATAAATCATTTAATGAAATTTTTCAATACATTTAAAATTATTTTATTATTTTGTTTATTTAAATTTTAAATTTTAAAAACATGTAAAATATAAAAATAAGAAAAAATACCTTTATAAAAGAAAAGTCCTACAGCAGTAATAGAAAGTATTATCAATGCAACTTCCACTAAATTCCAAAATTCTACAAAATATTTACAACCAGCTCGATATAAAAAACGAGATTCTCGAATAATAAATAATATAGTCATCAAGATAAATAGAATTTGGAAACCCAACATAGCCTTTGATTCAGTCACTGATGCATATAAATTGAATGTTATAACAGAAAAAGTAGGAACAACTCCACCAGAAGCTGGAAACTCTAAAGCCATTGTAACTGTGTTGAAATAATTAGTAGCGGCATTAAATAAAGCAAACTCAATTATTACAGCTCGTGTTTGTCTATCAATCCATCTGTGTTTTTTTGCTTGATCAAGTATAACTTGATTTTTCCACTTGGAAAATAATTCTATGACATAACCACCGCCATAGTAAGTGTTTAAACTAGCTATATATGGATACCCATCAAGCTCTTGCCAGGTTTGATACCTCCAAGGCATTGTCAAAGTATTAATTGTAGAGTTATATTGTTTTGGAAGAGTCCAATTCAAATCAAAACCTTTTGTTTCCTCTAATGTAGTTTTATATGGAGACAAACAATTTATAGCAATGAACTTGACAATTGAGTTGGCTTTTGTGCAAGAGTCTAAAGAAAAAATAAAAGTTTTTAGTTTTTTAAATGTTGCATTTGAATATAAGGGTATATCATTCACATGTATAATTACATAAATTTTTAATAATAATATTTTATAAAAGTGTTGAACTTTATGTTTCAATATAATAATATGTTTTATACACTTAAAAAATTTTATAATACTTATTATATATAAAATCTCAAATTATTTTTAATTCTTATGTTTCAAAGAAAGAAAGCTTTTCCAGGAAGTACATGGTATCAAAATGATGATTTATATCTAACTGTAAATTGTAAAAACTGCATAAATTTTTAGTTTTATCAACATAAAATTTCTGTTATTTTATGTTGATAAAACTAAAAAAACCTTGAATCAGCTTGGTTGCACAGCATATGTTGAGAACACAATTCAATCTTAGATTATTAAACATTTAAATACATGCACTTTATAAAATGTCATTTTTAGTAAGCTTAATGTTAAGGTGCAACTTGCAAGGTATTTAGGCATGACCATTGTAAGTGTCTTTGTAAATTTGATTTTAATAAAAGATTTTAAATAGTTTTAAAAAGAGTTTATTTAGATAAAATATCAGCACAAGAAATAAGAAGGCATTTCGAAAAACATAGCTACTTTTTTTAATACAATTTTTACAAAACTTTTAAAAAAACTTTGTTCAACATTATCACATGTTTTCTATTATAAAACTAAATATAGAGTTACTAGGGTTGTGATTTTTTAGTATTTTTTAGGTATCTCTGACTTGTATAAAAAATAGTTGAGCTTTGGTTTGAAGTTAGAAAAAACTATTTAATTTAATTATTGAATAAGATCTTGCACCATGCACCATTTATTACTTGCATGCACCATGACCCTTTATTATTTGCATGCACTATGAACATTTATTACTTGCATGCACCATGGCCATTTATTATTTGTATGCACCATGACCATTTATTACTTGCATGCAACATGACCATTTATTACTTTCATGCACCATGGCCATTTATTACTTGCATGCACCATGACCATTTATTACTTGCATGCACCATGTCCATTTATTACAATATAGCCCAAGTTGATATAATGTATATCAACTTAGGCTTCAAAGAATTTTATAAAGATTTCAAAATACAAACTCTATTTTATTAAAAGTATTTTGAAAAAAAATAATTGTTGCAACAAAATGTCTTAAAAAACAACTCGCTCAATTTTGGTTAAAAAATATTTTTTTTTTTTTTTTTTTTTTATATAAAGTTTATTTGATTGATTTTTATTTATAACCATTAGTATTTCTGAAATCTCTATAAAGTTCTAGTTCTTTTAAAATCCAAGTTAATAAACTTTATAGAAATTTTTTTTACTATTATATGAGACCTAGCAGGTCTCATATAATAGTGAAATTTTAACACCCACATTGAATGTGGGTGTTAAAACATCTGGATTTATTATTAATCAATGAAAAAGTGCTTGAATGTTTACTGGGAGATATCAAAACTTATTTGGTAATCAAATTGAAAATGATTTTTTTTTTGTTAACACTTAACTTCTGCATCCTCATTGTTAAAATTGAAAATTGGTTGTGTAATTATGAAATTTAGAAACTTAAACCTGGGTTATACAATGGCATTTAAATGAAAGTTTGTGCTCTTTAAAATAGTTATATTGATGCAGAAGTTTTGACAAGCATTTCTTGTGATTAACAGGTATTTGTTCCTTTTATAACAGGTACTTAGTTGACTCCACCAGATTGTAATTTACTATTTATTCTATGTCATCAGTTTCCTGTAAGATTAGCATATTTAATAACAATTAGTAAAACTCAAGGTCAAACATTTGATGGAGTTGTTGTGTATCTAAAAAAAAATGTTTTTCTTGAACATGAATGTTCAAGAACAAGAGCATTTAACAGTTTATTTTTAAAAATTAATAAAAAACCCTTTCAAGCTATGAAAAGTGGAAAATAAGTAAAAAACCCTTTTAAGCTATGGAAGGTGTAGCATATAACATAATAAATTTTAATGTTCTCTATTTATAGTCTAAGACTTTTTGTTCCAATTTTATTTGTATTCAAGAAAAAAATTAATCATTAAATTTTTGAAATTCATTAACATGCATTACATAATATATTATTTAATAAATATTATGCAAGTAATGTTGTATCTGCATATGTTTTTAATGATAATGTTTTTGATAAGTGTGTTTATGTGTCATATAATGTGTTTATGTAATGGGTTTGTATTGGCTATGTTATTTATATATGTTTATATTATGTTTTTTCCATATTTTCCAGATTATAGATTATAGATTGTTATATTTGCCAGCCAAGCTGACAAAGTTGTGGTGCTACTAGGCAGCATTTAAATCCAAACCGTGTTACTGATAAAAACGTAGGTTATATTGTCTAACCTTATTTATTTACTCTAAAAATACATAAAAATGTCTGTGAATATTTAGTGTAACAAATGTGCTACTTATTTTCTACTATATTACTATAATTATTAACAAGCTACTTTTAATAATTCACTAAAAGCAAGGAACTGAGTTTTTGAATAAATGCATAATTTTTCATCTCATTGTGAAAAAAAAGGAGTCTTTTTTTTCTTCCAGTCTTCCAATAAAGTAGTTAAAAAGTCTTCCACAAAAAACAAAGTTTTGAATTTATTATTTGTCAAATAGTGTTTTTATTTTTCAAATCAATTATAATAATACATAAACATAATTGTGTAATCAGTGTTTTAAGTTAAAATACTAATCTGTTTTTAGGTCTTGCTGGTTTAACTGATTTAAAGTCTTTCATGTTAATCATTTTCTAAAAACTTACACCAAATATCGTTAATCTCTATACCATTTACTAAATACTATTATGATATTACAGTGATATGATTCAAGTTGTTATAATTAGTACCAAAATCAAAAAGGAGACCTACCTAATCCATTTTTATTTGTTCTCACATAAAATTTTGCATATGAAGTTTTTTTGTTGTTGAGGAATTATTGAAAATATTTTTATTAAATACTATTTGATATTCACCCTAACCATGGTACATGGACAAGGTGAATATCAATTTGTAATTTTTGTATACAATTTTTTACTTGAAATGAAACTCATTTAATTCAATTTTAGGTTAGACATTTTCATGATTGTAGCCCAGTAAATCTTCCTCAATTTCCTCTTTCTCAAATGAATCACTGTCAGAAAATTTTAAAACTCTGGCTGACTTACATTGAATTCTCTCTTTTTATAAATAACATCAATTACAATAAGTTGTATCCTGTTGGCAAAAGATAATTGTTGATTAGCAGCTAGCAACCTTCCAATTTTTTTCATAGCACTAGCTCCGTTGGTCATTATAGCCATGATGTCAGAACAAGTTTTTTTTCTAATAGTTCAATGCATTTTTCTGCTGGCATTAAACCTGCTATTCACACTAAACCTACACTCAAGTGAGAGTTTTGTCAGTGAATGTTAATATTCATATAGCGACAATTTTAAAGTGATGTTCATTTGTCAAAAGATAAAAAAAATCTCACTCCTACCCTAAACCTACTTTTACTTCTATACTTTTTTTTTGCGCGCTTTAATTTAATAAACTAAACTTTGTCTTATTTATTTGCTGTACTCTACTACATGATTATGAATTATGTAACAACTAACATTGATAAAATTTCAAATCCAATAGCAGTTAGAGCAGCATATAAACCTGTTGAAGAACAAATCATATTAAATAAAAGCATGTCAGACAGGTTACTTTTAATTGAAAAATTCACATACGTAATGCTTATTTAAATTTTAATTTTAGCAGTCTATCTTATAAGAAAAGCATTTTTTTTTAGTAAACTAAAGAAAAGTTATTTTATTGATACATATAAATTGTTGTAATTTTTGTATATTTTTTCATTAAGCTTTCTTTTGTTCAATCTTATAGGAAATCCTAGGATTGATATTAGGCAACCCCAAGATTTTGGGATTATCAAGATCCCAACCTTTTTTATAATTCCAAAATTGCTCTCGGAATCTTTACTTATGAGTTTTCAGAAAGAAAATTTTTTAAATAATTTTTCGACTATGACTATTATTCTTCTCATTTGACACAAATCAAAAACATGCCAAAATGGTAAACATGTTAAACATGGATAAACAGTACACAAATCTTTGTGTACTGTTTATCCATGTCAAATGTGAAGAATATATCAGCACTAGTACTATAGGAATAAGTGAAAATCAGTTTTTTCAAAGCTGGTTTTACACGTCAAACTTTCCAAACCTTTCCCAATATTAATTGTAGTGCAGAAAAAGCACTTTTGAAAAACACTGCAAAAAAATGGTAAGATTTAAGAACAATCTTCATTCCTCAGTGTTGATTGGTTGTTTAAATTTACTGAATATAGAACTCTCCTACCAAATATAAATACTGGAACACAGCTAAATGAACTTTTTAAAAAATAAGCAAAATACTGCTAGAATACACAACCAAGCTTTTATCAGTCAAATGCTTAAATAATGCTTAAAATTAATTAGATTTACTGTAAGTAACATTAAAATTAATGAATATTTTACCATATCATTGATAATTTGTTTACTTAACAAAACAATTCAAAAATTAAAAGGTTGTTTTGAGATTTGAGTATTTTTTTATTTTTTTTAAAAACATCAACAAGTCAATAACTGTTTTATTTTACATATAACTACTGAAGCTATTCTAATATGAAATAACGATTTTATTAAAGTTTTTAAATATATATATAATAAGTTAAAAGATCGTTGAAAGGTCTTTTAGAACATCTACTAGCTAGTCTAATAAGTATAAATCAAATCAAATTTTCCTAAAACTTTATTTTTTATTTTTGGGTTTCTGGGTCAAAAAGCAGAGTTATTTTTTAAGAACTACTCTAATTTTTTTCAAATCTCTAAAAATGTTAATTCAAAGATCAAATAAACTTTATTTTCAAAAATAATAATAATTACCAAAACTTTGTAAAACAAAAATTGGTACTTCAAAACATGGTAAAACAAAAGAAAGAAAATATAATAAAACATAGTTTGAATATCAGTAAGGAAAAAAAAGTCACAATTATTTAAAACAAAATCTTAAAAAAAAATCTAAATATTCTCTATATTTAGAATTTTTTTAGACTAACTAAGCATTTTTTATAAATGAAATAAAATAAACAAATAAAAAAATACTGTTAGCGAATCTTACTTGACTTCACACGAACTTGTCTAATTCGTATTCCATTCACAATTTTCGAGTTAAGATCATTTAAAAAAAGTTTTCCAGGGAAACTTTTTATGTCTGCATTTGCATAAAAATCATTTAAGTTATACCAAGGTTCAGGAAAAACTTGTGGTAGAAAAAATTCTTCCATCCAATGCCAAAAATCTTGTGAGGATTGAATCTATTTGCACATTTTCAATGTAATATAAAGTTTTTATAAGGGAATAAATTATCAAAATAATAAGCAGAATATATATATATATATATATATATATATATATATATATATATATATATATATATATATATATATATATATATATATAATATATAATAATATAAATGAATCAAAAAAAAAAAAAAAAAAAAAAATGTATTTCATAAAAATGAAACAATACTCATTTAACTTAGGAAATATTACTAAAAACATAATTTTTAAAAAAAACTTTATCTAAATCTTTAAACATATTATTATTTTTATAATTTTACTTATAAAAGCAACAAACCTGATTAAATAATGGGATGTTTGGATTTGCAGGCAATCTTAGTTTCAAATTGAAAAGTTCTTGAACATTGCGAGTTTGATAGAAAGTGAGACTACTATGTGAAAAATAACCAATAAAGAACACTAAGCATGCATAGAAAATGTACAAAAAAAGTTCTGTAATTATAGCGTGTATCTTCTGGTGCTTTTGTCTTTGCTCACTCATCTTTTTTACTGTAGAATAATCAAGAGGCTGTATTGTTACACAATCACTACCCATTCTAAATTTATCTTTAGGCTTGTGGAGCCAATTTTCATCAAAAGCCAATCGTTTACCTAAAAGATTCTTATATATAGTTTTTAACAAACTGAAATTTTAAAAGAGTTTAAAAAATAAACTAAAAACCATCTGATTTCATTTTTAAATGTTTAATGTGAAATAAATAAATAAATCTTTTATTTAAAATTAAGTATATACAACAAAAAACTGAGAAACTTATTAGCTGGTCGACTGTGAACGCCTTTAAAAAAAAAAGAAGTACATTAGAATAGAGGATAATTACTTTTTGAAAAAAGCATATTTTGACAGTTGTCACGACAAAAAAAAAAAGATTAATAGAAGAATATTTAAAAATACATATGACAGACAATGCACCCAAACAGTACTTACAATGATAAAAAATAAAAAATAGTTATTTTTTTATAAACACTTAAAATGAACAAAGATATACAACAAATACATCACCAAACAAAAACATATAAAACAAAAAATTGATAACAAAATAAAATATATGCATGCAGGCCTAAAAATGGAAAAAAAAAACATTAATGCTAATTTGAAAACATAAGTTTGTGTAGTGATTAAATAATAAACATCTCCTCAGAGCTGCGTCTGGTCTGGCCTTTCGATGAGAATCAGCACTTATAACTATTTTATTCCGTCAGACAAACATTTAATAGTCATCACCATTTATGCTTTACCTTGCAACTTTTTTCTATTCCATATTGCAGTAAAAAAGGACTCATTACAAACAGCCAAAACCCAACCATCTCCAAAAACTTGCAAAGTACCAATACTTATTTTGATGATATGACATTAAAAGTGTAGAACAATATACAATATAAATAAAAATAATTAAATAAATCACTTACCGTACCACCAGAAAAAAATATGAAAACAAAATAAATTAAAATTCTAATAGAGGCACAAAAATAAAACTAAAACAACTCAAATGAATATGTAAACATAAAATGCTAATAAATTTCTTTTTAAGACATATTTTTTCTTGATTAGTACAGATAATTTTTTTTTGAATCTATTAGCATGGTATACAATGTGCACCATGCATAGACAAAAGAAAAGAGGGGGATGGACAGAAGGACAATAGTTTCCTCCTTGCCAATTAACAAAGGGACTCAGCACTAACATTGCTCTGCGAATCGCCAATCTATATTTTTTCAGTCTTAACTTCCATGATCTGGCTGCGCTAACATCATGTAAGATGGAATATTAGTATTGAAATTTAAAAAAATATATATTAGATGAGCATTTAGATAATTTCCACAGACCATTTTTACAAAGTTATAACTTGTTTTTACTTTTGTTGTTGCAGCCCCGCAAAAAAGATTATAAGAGATGGTTTTCAAACTATTCAGAATGCACATACAAGGCCTGTCACCTAATTGTTGGAATAACAGTATCTTTAACATTTTTATTCTAACTTTTATGAAGTTCTAGTTGATACAAGACCTTTTGATATCACAACCCAACTTAATTAACTTAACCCTTTAACAATCCCGTGTTTTGTTTTAAAAACGATCGCAATTAGTCCAGCTTTTTTTTTGAAGTGGTCTTCAAATGTCACGTATTTTTAAATTCATTGAATTTTTTTACTAATAGAATAAAAAAGGTTTTTTTTACTATTTTTAACATTATTAAACACTACAAAATTTTATTATTCAAGTTAAAAATATATAAACCATACTTACATAAACATAAAATTTCAAAAATGTATTCACTAGTATTCACTTTTTGTATGATAATTGTAAAAAGCAAGGAGCTGCAAAAAGTCCTATATCTCATTTTACACAATCATATCCTGAATATTTTTGAATACTGTGTTTGTAACATACCGCACACCATCTTTGAGCATTAATCTTTTATTATCATTTTCATTAAACATATCTTTTCATTATTGATTCATCAAATGTATAAAATTTTTTTTTCGTGAATAAATGTTTACTTTTTGATACTTATTTTTGTACTAAAAGAACTTTCTTATTTGACATTTAAAATCAAATTGAAAGACACAAAAGCTCTGCAATTATCTAGTAATGTTTTTGTGACAAGTAGACGTATAGTTACTGATGAACAAGAAGAAAATATAAATGCACCAAACCATAATATTACAGGATGGTCATTTAGAAACCACTTTTAGTTTGCGTGATATTACGACATTGACTGTTAACGGGTTAAATGTTAAACCAGTTAGGTATACATACACTAACAAAAAAACTCACAATTATTATTAAATTCTCTAGGTTTTAACCAGTAAAACAAGGTTAGATACCCAAATTCTGCAAAACCCAACTGCTGTTGTTAGTGCATAACAGTGCACTAACAACACCTAAATATATCTCAAAGGGATCCCAAAGTGCCTAGACAAGTTGTGTTCATACTAAAGAGAATGATAAAAAAATATGTTTAAGCTGATATTTCTTGAGTAAAACAAAATAATAAATGTATACCGAGAAAAACTTTGTTGTTTTACAGGAAGCTCGTCATCTCCATATTAGACATTACTCTAAGTTTTTAAAATATATGTCATTATATACAGACTTTATAATTTATTAAAGCGCCTTTAATTCCAAAGAGTTTTAGTATATGACATCAATGCAGAATTTTGATAAGAAAGCCAAAAATTCTTTTTTTCATCAAATTATAGATTTTTTTTTTTCATTATAGATTACTAAAAAATTTGTTTAGTTACTTATTTTTATATAAAAGTTTTTTTTTTCATAATAAATTACTATAGAATTTCTTTCTTTATTTTTTTTTCTAAATTTCGTGAAGTTCGCATTAAAAATATGAATAAACTATTCTTAAAATTCTTATTTAATCATGCAAAAATATATTTAATGAAATTTATTCTGTAAAACTTATATTGCTTATAATTTATTTTTTTAATAAAACACCTATTAGTCAAGATTGCAAAAAAGTGTCATTAAATTTATTTTTAATAAAACATTATTGAGTCAGAGTTTTAAAAATGAATTTGTTTAATGAAAAACTTTTTATTGTCAATTTTGTTAGTTTTTTGATTTGAAATGTTAAGAGACTAGCCAAATTCAACATATAAATTGGGAAATATTAAATGAAATGTTTTTAATGTGCACTGCAACACTTTGACAATTTTAGTCGCCATGTGTCTTGAATTAATGCCATAAAATATTAATGTAAAACATTAAAACATTATTTATTGCTTTAAGTTAAAATAAACTGTCTGCAAATTTGTTAAGTGTAAAACCTTCACCACCAATATTATAAGTTAAAAAACTGTTCTCTGAGAATTTTAATCCATACACTCTAAATCAGCACTCTGAACAAGGAATTAGTTTACATTTGCAAAATAAGATGTTCACAAATTTATCTAACTTTAAAATAAAATCATTTTAAATCATTTTCATTCATCATTTTTTACACGTCTAATAACAAAATCAACAGCTGATTTCCAAAAATACTTAAATCTTTAAAAAGTTCTTTTTTCATGAATTAGAACAGAATATGTAAAAAGTGCTTTTAACCATGGACCAAGTAAAGCAAGTAACATATCAGTTACTAGCTGTTTAGTTTCTTTAATTTTTCTCATTAAATTCACTTAAAAGATTATTATATCATAGCATACCTCTAGCTGTTGGAAGCTCTATTCCTTTTTAACAACTTTAATAAACAAAATATGTTTACTCGAGGTTCCCTTTCAAAGTATTATTAGGTATTATGAAGTATTAATTACATTTTGATGTAAAAAACACCCACGAAAAAAAAACAATTAAATTAAAATCAAGCTAGCGTTGAAATAATTTTATTTTTTAAAATAAAAAAAAATTGTGGATTTTAAGTCCAGAATATAAATCCATAGGCCACTGCAAGCCTTAGGTTGTTACAGAAGAGAGATTCGATTAAAATTCGGCTGTTTGTTCCAAGCAATCAAAAAACGAAGATTTTTTGTCAAGACAAGAGTTTAAAGTTGAGTCGTCAGCAAATAGGAGCCACTTTAGCTGTAAAATTTTCATAAAGATCAATATTACAGATAAGATACAATAAAGAAGCAAATATGGAACCTTGTGGTACCCTTGTGGAACCTTGGATGGAACCTTGTGGTACCCTTAAAGTTACTTGAAATAAAAAAGAGTGTAGGCCTTCAAGACTAACTTTAATACTGTTAGAAAGAATTAATTTAATAATCTCAAAATCTTTATATAAAGAAACTAATAACAGAGTGAAGACTAATTGTAGGATAGTTGGAGAGGTCAATGTGTTTTCTTATTGAAACCACTTATTTAACACTTTTTAAAATTTAGCAAATATTGAAGAGAATTCTGGAGAACACTTTTTTAAGACTATGATTGAAATCTTGTCTGAAACTTTAGAAGTGAGAATTGTTTAGAAATGAAGAATTGTTTAATTAAGAATTAACTATAGTATTGGAACCCAAAGTGATTTGGATACTTAACAACAGATTAATCTGTTTAACTGGCAGAACGAGTATGGCCATTAGATTCAAGAATCAAATTAGAGTAAAATTTCTTTGCAAATAATTATGCTTTAATCTGGGGAGAAGTAAAAAGATCAGACCTATGAATTAGAGATAAAATGTTAGACTTACTTTAGCTAATGACATTGTTGAAGACTAATAAAAAGTCTCTAGAACTAACATCTGATATAAGATACAAGATTTAGTGAACTGAGAATAACAGAGCTTAACATCAAACATGACCTTTTTACATTGGCTTCTTGGAATAAAAAGGACATTTGTTCTTAAGAGAGATGTTCTTGTGAAAAAGATGAAAAAAATGAATAATGTTTACTAAAGCAACTGCTCAAGATGGTAAAAAATGTGGAGGAGAATGAGGGTTGACTTAAAATTAGTAGGAATAAAAGCTTCAAAACTTTTAGTCCAATAGGAATAAAAGCTTCTGAGATGCGCTTTATGCATACATATTATGGATATAAACATATATATTTGTTATTTATTTAGATGCTATCATACAATATTTTTTCATTTTTATATAAACTTTAGTTTTTATATGGTGTAGTATTTGCCGAAAAAAAAGATGATCAGATAATGGAGATGATGATGGTCATCATGTGGAGATGATGATGGTAATGATGATTATGATAATCATGTTGATCATAATGATGTTTATATATGCATATATATACATAACTTAACATGAATTTTGAATAAAAAAAACATATTTTAGGATGTATAAATGTTTATGAAGTCCTGGTCACAAACCCGGCCCCCGGCTATATTTTATTAATCTGGCTCCTGCTCCAGTCAAATATCAACCCAGTCGCTTGGAACTAGTTTGGAACAGAAACATTTCTTATTAAATATAGAACAGGTTATTTCCTAGTAAGTATATTACTCTATAATATTGCTATATAATAAAATACAAAATTTATTAAAAGACTGTAAAAAATCATGATATTAGTAAAAACTTTGTAAAAATATACTTTGGTTCACTCATCTTTGTAAAGGTATACTCATACAGGTATAAATATATAAAAAAAAATTTAAAGAAAAGGTACAATCAAAAAACATTACATTTTTATCAAATAATTATCAGCAGAATAAATTTTATTGAGATTCTAAAAATATGTAAATAATATAGTTACACTAAAAATATGTAAATAAAGTTAGTTGCAATCATTTAAGGTGCAAATAACTGCAGGGCAAGTTAAAGAAATAATTTTTTTTTTACCTTGCTTTTCAACTTCAATATTTTCAGTTTCATCATCAATCTTTTTGACAACGAGAACCATAACAACAACCACTACAAAAATTTTTAATGGATCCAATAAAAGTATACTTTTAACCTAAAGTTATAAAAGAACATAAATACAAGTATCCTGTTAATCTAGAAACATCAAAAAAGAAAAAAAATTATAAAAAGTTAAAAAAAAAGGAAACAATCAAAAAAAAAAAAACTATAATTAAAAAAGATAAAAAAACAATATTTAGGTAATTCCGAAAATTATAAAAAACCTTTTAACCCCTTGAAAGTCTTGTATTTTTTAAATTATGGTTGCTATTAGTGTAGCAATTTTTGTTAGAAGTGATTTTTAAATATCCTGTGTTTTTTAAAAACTTTGTGTTTTTTTAAAAACAAATTAAAAAAAGATGTTGGTCAACTATTTGTAAGGGGTTGTTTGCCACTAATCCAGAGTGAGATTTTTTTAGCTGTTATATTGTCAAATCATTGATGTGATACCATATTGTCAAATCATTGATGTGATTAACAGTATTCTAAAGTTCAAAAGTGCTATACTACAACCCATTTTTTTTACAAATTATATGAGCATTAGGCTGCTTGATTTAGAAATGAGTAAATACTTTTTTGTAACACTTTTTTTTTTTTCACTTTTCACACTTTTTCTTTTAACTTCATAACAATCATTTGGTCACTTCTTGGTTTTTCTTTTTTTGGCCTCCCATATTTTGATTATAATTATAATCTATAATATAAAAGGAAAAGCCTTTACTCACTGATTCACTGATTCACTCACTCACTCATCACTAATTTTCCAACTTGCCGGGTAGCTAGAAAGCTGAAATTTTTACCAGGGGTAACTTATGATGTGCTTAGACAAAGTAAAAAGTTTAAATTTAAAAATTCCGCCTAAGCGCATAAATATTAGGAGCAGTAGTTTTTTATAAGGAGCCCATATACGAGTATACAGATGAGCGTTTGTATATATGCACATAATGAATTTTTGTAGCTAAAATGGTGTCGGTACAAATCTATGGATCGCCTTGATACCAAATTAGTTAGTGAGCATCTAGGTGCTTTGCTCCTTATGCCCCTTCCCATAAGAGTCACAAAAATTGATTTCTGCACAGGTGGACAGATTTCAGTGAAATTTTGTATTCATGTTACTATCATGTCTAAACGGCATACAAGCTATTTAAAACAATCAAATTCAAATTGTGCCCATTCCCATGGGAGTTAATTTTTGTTTTCTGCATGGGTAGATGGATTTCAATAAAATTTTGTAGGCATGTTACTAATATGTCAAAATGGCATGCAAGCTAATTAAAACTGCTAGTTAAAATCAGTTATTGAGGGTTACTAAAATCTATTGGCAGTTATATCATGTGGCAAAATCATGTAAAAAACAAATTATAACCTCAAGGTATAGATAATTGTTTACAGTAAAATTATTTCAATATTCAGATCCCTTAAAAGTATGGTAAGTAACAAAATATAATATAAACATACTACATAATATTAACCTGGTTAACCTAAGAGAAAGCGAGACAGTTAGGAATTATTAATGAACACTGACTAATAATAAAAAAAAATTAATATTATATGTGTCCTTAATTATATAATACTAGCTGTATCACATGCTCAGCATTGGTATACAGCTAGTCATCAATAAAAACATTTTTAATCCCATCAATAATGCAAGTTGATATGGTATATACATCTTTTTTATCTTTCCAATGTGATACCATTATGTTTTTCTTTATACAAAACTATACATATTTTTTTCTCAACTTTGTTTTGATAGAATTAGATAAACCATTTTGGTCTTTGCAAATTGTTTTAATGGTATCTGTAGATCTTAGCAAAAAAACTTATGAAAGCTCATAGGAAGAATACCAGTTGTCAATGCATTGTTTGTAGCCCTGTTTAAGTAAGCCGTTAATAAGGAATTTTAACTTTTTTTTAAATTTTAAATATTGATGAGTCACTTTTTAACAAAAGTGACTCATCAATAGATATATTTTGTGCATGTGTATACACTTATAATCTATTAGTCAGATTTTAAAATCAAATAGAATTTTTGTTTGGTTTGAGAAATTTATTCATTTTTCACAAAATGAATAAATTTCTCGATAAGCTTGAACTTCTTATAAGATAACAACCGTTTGATGCCAGCACTTGCAAACAATCAATTCGTGATGTAATACATTTCATATGCAGGCTTTCAAAATACTCCTAGATATAAAAAAGTTGCAATATATTGCCTAATCTTTAAAACTGTTGTAAGCAACCAGTGACTTATTCTGGAATATGCTGATAAACCAGCATAAAAAGCATTATTACCCATTTTGGTTGCAAAAAAGAATGATCTATTTTGCTTATGTAAATTAGGCATCACTCACTGAAAATAAACTGTTTTTTTAGAACTTCCTGTACCAATCGCAATAACTGAAGTCTTAGTAACTGGGATACCAACAGTGAATAGACCAAATGTCAGTAATAGTTCTGATTATAAAAGTAGTAAAAGTTACAATACTGTATGAAAACAGCAAATAATATTAAAATAAAATTAATTATTTTATATTATTGGGTATTCTTTATTTTGTGTATCACCTGTGTAATGCATAGCAAACATGCAGTGAAGTAATAAAGCTCATGAAGCTTAACTACTATACTGCATGATCTGTTCATGATGTTAATTCTGGCCATTAAAATTAAAGCTTTGACAATATTAATTAAATTATATCTATATATATATATATATATATATATATATATATATATATATATATATATATATATATATATATATATATATCTATATATATATATCTCTCTATATATATATATATCTCTCTCTCTCTCTCTCTATATATATATATATATATATATATATATATATATATATATATATATATATATATATATATATATATATATATATATATATATATATATATATATATATATATATATATATATCTATATATATATAATATATATATATATATATATATATATATATATATATATATATATATATATATATATATATGCATGGTTGCATGGGTGATTGCACAGTTATAAATCAATACTGTTATTTATTCAATCAACCGAAATTAGTTTTTTCTAAATTAATCAATAATAGTATAAAATCACTTTAATCAGAAACATTAAAAACTAAATTTTTGACAAAAATTTAGACAATTTTGACAAAATTTAGGTGATTTTTAAAATTTGAAAAAAAAAATATTTCAAAACTTTTTTTCAATACCTTAAAAAAAATATTGTTTTTCTTTAAAAAAACTTTTAAATATTTAAACTTTGAATTCAGAGGATCTGCACATCGGGTGTTAAAATACATTTAAAAAAAAAAAAAAACTTGATTAGTATAATTTGGACAAAATGCTTAAAAAAAGCAATTACATTTTACCATTGAAACCTAATGATTTATAAAAATCATAAGATTTCTAAAAACATAATAAGATTTAAAAGATTTATATAAAAAAAAGTAAACCACATACAAAATCAATAGTGACACATGCTAACCAATTCAATGATTTTTGATTTCCAAATGCCACTCCATACATGAAAACAATAATGCCACAAGCAAGAATATTTCCAACACAAATGAACCATGCCATATACAATTTGCATTTTTCAATAGAAATTAACAGTTTTTTTTTGTTTGGGTGTGAATCTGTAAAATAAATAAATAATTAATTAAACTGGAAAATCATTTCACCCATAAATAAAGTGCAAGTAATAAAAGAAAAATGTTTACCATTGTTTTCTAGGAGATGTACACAAGCATATGACTCTTTTCGAACAACATTGTTTGTATCACAAGTTAAGCAATTATGTGAATTGTTTCTTGGAAATTTTCTTATTGAACAAAATAACTTCACAAGTATAAAATTTACTGGAAACTTAATGCAAGTGGAAATTAATACCACAAAAACCTAAATTTTTTTTTATATTAAAAAAATGTTTAATTGAGATGCATAAATAATAAATAGTATATAGAAAATAAAATAAAAACATAAAAATATTCTATGAATAAAAAATTTTCTTATTGAACAAAATAACTTCACAAGTATAAAATTTACTGGAAACTTAATGCAAGTGGAAATTAATACCAAAAAAACCAAAATTGTTTTTTAAAAGTCATTTCTTAATTAAACTTATCTATGGCTAGTGATCCAGACATTATACCTGTCATAGTCTTACAAAAGTATTCTTCAAAAAATCTTCAATTCTCTCTAAACTAATTAATAAATGCATGACTACATCTTGTTTTCTGGACTACAGGAACATAGCTTCTGTAGTTCTAATTTTTTTAAACTATAAAGAACATTCTGACCCCTCCAACTATAGTCCGATCAGTCTTCTATCTATTGTCAGCAAGGTCTTTGAGTCTGTGGTTAACAAGTTTCAAACATCCCATCTTGATTCAAATAACTGTGTGACAATCAATATGGTTTTCAATCTCCTCATTTTATAGCTGACTTGCTAACCATGGTGACTATAAGATTCTATTGTGCATTAGATGGAGGCAGCAAAGCAAGGGCTATTGCTCTTGATATATCTAAAGCTTTCAATAAAATTGGGCATGCTGGTCTTCTCCATAAGCTTTATATTGTGTATCTGGTAAAGTTTTTGAGATAATCAAATTATTTCTTACTAACCGCTTTATCAAAGTCATCCTTGAAGGCCAACACTCTTCTTTATTTCCAGTAACTTCTGGGGTACCTTAAGGTTCTATTTATGCTCATGTTTTGTTTCTTATCTACATTATGATCTTTCTGACAACCATACATCTAAAGGGGCTCTAATTGCTGATGACTCAACTTTATACTCATGTCTTGACAAAAAATCTTCTCTTTTCGATTGCTTAGAATTTTAACTCAAACTAAACTCAGTTATTTAATGCAAACAACTATTACAATACTGTCGATATTCCTTCCCAGTGGGCACCGGATTAAAAAAAGATGTCTTTTAAACGTTCAAAAGACGTTCAAAAAACGTCCAAAATGTGTATAAGACATTTAAAAGAAATCTTTTTTACGTCCGTGTCCACTGAGTTTACTAATGAATTGCAAATCTCTCATTGAGTCCTCTTCTTTACTTCTTGTTGGATTATCATTCACTACAAAAAGTTAGCATCTGCTAATGATGCTTCTCTTTATTGCAAGCCTTCCCAGGAAACAAGTGCGGTTTTTCCTTTTGCATGACCACACATGAGTATTTTATTTTAGACAACTTGGTCATGACCGTTTATAAGTTTTTTTACAAGTTTTAAAAACAAAAAATAGCAAAAGTAACAAAATAGGAAGTTAAAAAAAATTCAAACAGAAAAAAAAAAAAAAAATAAATAATAACTTAAATAATTTGTGTACTGTTTTTATTTTTGTGTCTTTAGAGTAATAGTAAGTTTGGGGATAAAAAACTTACATGAAAATAAAGGTAATATGAAACAATTAAGGTTGTGTGAAAAATGTATAGACATTTTTCACACAACCTTAATTGATGGCATAATTAATAATTGATGGCATAATATAATCAATAAAGATGGCATAATTAAAGCTTAAAAACTATGTATATATGTATGTGCGTCATTCAAAACCATATAAGAAAAAGATTCTTTATATCCAAATAAAAAGATAAATTGTTACAAAGCAAACATATGATCAGCAGTATTTAAATGAAAAATAAAAAAAGTTAGACAATTATAGGAATTGAACCAAGGACATTCTGTGTATGAAGTTAACGCCTTATCCAAATAAGCTATACACACAAATACCTCGTTACAAATAAAAACTATTATTAAAGTTATACATAAAAGTATACATAAAAGTATATACTTCATTACAAATAAAAATTATTATCAAAACAAAAATGTTTTACATAGAAGTGTAATTTATAAGAAAACCATCTATTTATATTAATTATATATAACCATCTTATAAGAATATTTGTATAAGTAAATGAACATTTAACCTTACTAATTATATCTGCATTATTAGTCAAATTACTTTCTAAGATTTAACCAAAAAAATTAAATTCGCCAACAAAAATTCACATTCTGTAAAAATAAATTAAGGAAAGTTGTTTTACACAGTTTGCATTTCTATTTAAAAATATTTAAAATATTTAAAAGTTTGCCTAATTATTACATAGCAATATCTTCAGCACCACAAAAAAACTAAATCTTATCTTTAACCTGGTCTCAAGTGTTTTAATGAGTGCAATAATTTTATCACTGTAAACAAAGCATAATCTTACAAAACACTTGTCATAGTGATAATAAAATCAATACTTATAACCAAAACCCAATTTTGTACTGTATATATTAAAATTTAACACTTGAAAATGTTTTAATTATAAAAGAATAAAGAAATCATAATATAATTCATGTATTAGAACTTTGTATTGGCTTCTTAAACCTTTAAAGCAGCCTCTATTCTTTGTGGCATTAAGCCATTAAGAGACTTTTTTCAGATCTCCTGCTAGAGTTAAAAAACTTCTAACAGTTTTTGATGAGGTATAAAACTGGTGTACTGCCCAGCAACAGAGCATAAACAATATTTTTTGTCAGTGGCAAATCGCCCTGTTGTGCATAAAAATATAAAACTTTTCAATTCAAAATCAAATTATAAAAGTGGTAAATTAGCACAATTGTTGATAGTGACTATACCCTGATTTATTACCGCTGGACATTGCAAAAATTTTTAACAGCATTCTTAAAACTTAATTTGAAACTTATAATTTTTTGTGAAAAAATTTGTTTCTTGTTTAATTGCTTACAGTGTTAACAAATTTTTTGTTAAATTTTATATATTATGTATAACTCAAACTTTTTTTTTGATTTGAATTAAAACCTTAATTTGTTAAAGATTCTTATTTTTAAAAATCATTGAGAAAATAAAACAAGTTTTAAAACTTTTTTGATAGCTTTTAAAATGCATAAAACAAAGAAATCGAACAAAAAATTAAAAAACGCTTTTTATTTCTTTGTTGTATAAATTTTAAAACTATTTTTTTATGTTTTTTATGAAACACTTTATTTATAGTGTTTTATTTAAAAAAAAACTGAATCGTTAATGGTAAACAATATATGTGTTAACTACGCAATTGCAAACAAAATTGAAAAATGTTTTTTGTTAATAAAAAGTTTTTTTAAATGTAAAATGTTATTGTAAAATTTAATTTATTAAACAAATTTAATTTATTAAACAAATTTAATTTATTAAATTAATTTAATTTATTAAATTAACTTAATTTATTAAATTAATTTAATTTATTAAATTAATTTAATTTATTAAATTAATTTAATTTATTAAATTAATTTAATTTATTAAATTAATTTAATTTATTAAATTAATTTAATTTATTAAATTAATTTAATTTATTAAATTAATTTAATTTATTAAATTAATTTAATTCATTAAATTAATTAAAATTAAATTTTAAAAATTGTTTTTATGAATTAATAAATGGTTGTATAGCAGCAATGTTTAGAGCTTCCAAACATTTACAATGTTTGCAATAATAAAAACCGTTAAATTTACAAAAAATAATTTATAAATAAAAAAACCTGTGTCCAATTAATAATGAAGTTGCCAATTTTATTTTCTACAGCTGGATCTGCTTGAGAAACACTGTGATAAAACATTGTGCTAACCATCATGGAAGTCATAATTAAAGATACTGCAACAGATAACCTTTGACATCTAGTAAAGTTACTTTTAGGGGAACGAAAAAAGATTGAAAACCATAAATGCTCATTATGCAATTTATGCTGTGCTTTATTTTTAAAAACAAAAAGAGAATTATTTGATTCTTCAAATGATGCTACTGGTATAACACAGTCTAACTTACACAAGCCACGATCCACAGCAATCCAGAAATTGCCAATGAACACAAACCTTTTCTCAGTTTGAAGGTCAATGATTATAACATTTCTAAATAATAAAGTAAAAACCTTAATAGCAAAGCAATTTCAAATTTATTTAAAAAAATTAAAAAAAAAAAAAAATTCTTCATAAAAAAATTGTAGTGGTGGTGTAGTGTTAGAATGCTAACAGTGAAAGCAAAAATTCTAAAGTTCTGTTCTTCACCATGTCCCTTGGTACTGTAGTACTGCTGCCCTCTCTGGAAAGCTAACTTGTTAAACAAATGTTTAGAAAAACCTTGTTCAACAAAGTTATATATTGGAATTATGCATTAAAAATGAGTGTTTTGTAATGAGACTCATAACTCAGCAGGTATTTGATCAGTTTGAAATAAATTTTACCTGAAAGCTTAAACCTAGACTGCAAATGACTTTATCAAATTATTCTTTATTAAATTATCTAATTATTAATTCAATATCAACTGCCGGAGTGTAAAGACATTTTAATCCAAATTTAAACATAGCTGAGTTTGTGCCTACAAAACTGCTTTTGCAGGGAATTCTTTTACATTACTTCCACCGAAAGACAACAGCAGCTGAGGCACTTAGAATATTAGTAGAAACATACGGCAACAAAGCTCTTTTAGAACAAACATGTAGAAGATGGTTTCAACAATACAAGAGTGGTGATTTTGACTTCCAAGATGGAGATCATTTTGCAGCTAAGAATATGTTTGAAGATATCGAATTGGAGGCGTTATTTTATGAAAATTAATGCAAGACAGAGAAAAAGCTTGCAGTATCATTAGGAGACAACCAATCAACAGTTTTTAGGTGCTTGAAACAACAGGGAATGATTCAAAAGCGAAAAAATTGGGTCTCATATGAATTGAAACTGAGGAACATTGAAAGATGATTTTTTACTTGCAAACAGATGGTCACATGCCAAAAAGTAAAGGTTTTCTGCATTGACTTGTTACTGGTGATAAAAAGTGGATATCTATATATATAAATGCACACACACACAGATATATATATATATATATATATATATATATATATATATATATATATATATATATATATATATATATATATATATATATATATATATATATATATATATATATATATATATATATATATATATATATATATATATATATATATATATATATATATATACACACACACACACGCACACACACACAGTTTAATTGATTTAGTATTAAAATAGAATTTAATTTTTTCCTTTAGTTGTCTTGATATATGCATTTAAAAATAATTTTAATATTAAAATAAATTTTACACAAACATTTACTATATGCTGTACCTATCTTTATTGAATCATGGCAATAGACAACAACAATTATTTTTGTTATTATTTATAAAATACATTTTTTATGATCAATTTAAACTGCTTAAAACTTTTTGTATAATATGTTTTATAAATTTGATTTGATTCAGTTAAGAAAAAAAACATTCATACTTTTTTAACTTATGATACGTAAATTAGTTAATGTTTTTAACTTTTTTTAATATTATAGATGAATGAATAATAAAAAAGAATTAAAGATTTTAAAATAATGTTACATAAGTGTTTTTAGTTAAAAAGTTTCAACTGCGTTATTAAAAAAATAATTTTGTAAAAAAAAAGAACACAATAATATTGTTCAAAAACAGTTTCTTTTATTTTAATTAAGTTTTTCAAGTTTAATTTTTTTTTTTTGTTTTCAATTTTTTTAGGTTATTATTATTATTTTTTTTACTTTCTCGTAGTTTAGTTTTTTAAGCGCATTTTTGAAATAATTAAATATCAACATTTAACAATCAATTTAATAATTAAATATCAACATTAAAAAAAAATCTTTATTGTTTATAATCAAAAAAAAATAATAAATATTTATTTTGATTATAAACAATAAATATTACAAACAATAAAAATTGAAAAGAAATATTACAAACAATAAATCAAATAAATCTTACTTGATGTTTTTACAAAATTAAAAATTTTCTGCAGTTTTAATTTTCTTATAGTGATTTTTCTAATTTTCTATTCTTTTTTCATTTGCACATTTTTATATTCAAATTATGTTTCTACCTGCACTTGGTTAATGCAATTAACAAAATTATCAACTGTTAACAACTTTAGAATATTTATTCATTACATTAGTGCAAAACAAGCAGAAAGAAAGTGACCTAGTGCTTTTTACATTTTATATACATAGTTGTATTATATAAACATTATATAAACATAGTTGGACCTGCTCTTGCAGCCAACCTTCAATCTTTGTCAGATCGTCGTAATGTTGCTTCTCTTTCTATTTTCTACAAATGCTATAATGGGCACTGCTCTAAAGAGCTAGTGTCTTTTGTGCCATCTACTAAAATTCATTCTTGTGTTACTCGTCATTCAGTTAAGCCTCATCTTTTTTCTGTTACTGTTCCTAAGTGCTCCAAAAACCTTTATTTATCTAGTTTTTTTCCTTAAACATCAGTTCTTTGGAATTCGCTTCCTTCATCTTGCTTTCCTGATTCTTATAATTTGCAATCTTTTAAATCATCTGTCAATCGTTATCTTGCTCTACAATTTTCATCTTTTCTCTTCCAATAACTTAATTAGTGGTTGCTTGCAGCCTTGTTGGAAGCAAAGATGTTTAAAAAAAAAATTTCTGCACTTAGATAATATTATATCTTTAGTTAAAAACTTTTATTAAAATAATTATATGAAAAATCAAAAAACAATATATTATTTGTTCTGCCCCAACTTTTTGGCAAGCATAATTTATACTCTTGTTATAAGCTGAATAAGCCTTGTTTATTGCGCCTAGAAGGTTTAAAAATACCATTTACAGGCACGTTTCACAAGCGCGATGCAACCGTGTCCGCTTCATCACAACCCCTGATTTTCCCATTTAACATGAAAAATTTTTCAATTAATACAGTTATAATTGCATTTATAGAAAAGTTTTTATAATGAACAGATGAATTTTATATACAAAAATTTTAATTGTAAATTAAATCATTTAAAATAGTAGTATGTAATAACAAAACATGTCAAGAATAAAGAATATTGTGTTATCTTTAACATACACACATACATTTCAGAAATATATCATAAATGATAAGTCTTTTGAAACACAGTGTAAAAATAAAAAAAATTCGATAAGTGATTTGCTACTAATTTAATTATTGCTCTATTCTTTTAAAAACATTGAAAATTTTGTAGTATATTTTCTCATATATTTAGATAGATAGAAAAATAAAAAGCATAATTATGTCAAAAAATTTTAAAACTAATTTTGAAAAAAGTATTCAAATAACCACTTACTTTACATACCAACCTCCACCACTATTATCATGCCACAACTGAATAAAATCTAAATCACCAATAGTACTCTGAGTAGCCATAATAAACATGTCACAGCTTGATCTTTGAAAACATACTCTTTCTGGATCTTTTAAATGTCTTACTCCACTATCATTTAATTCGCCTGTTTGAATTATTTTCATAAAATATTTCAAAATGTTGACTTTAATAAATAAAGTTAAATAGTAAACAAAAAATTAAATAAGCAAAAAATATGAAAGTAAAACAAATAAAATTTTAAAGAATAATAACAAATTATTTTTTTAAACATACATATAATGCATCATATTTTTTAATGATATAAACCAGGATAAAAATGTAATGACTATTTTTTTCCAATATAAAAAGATTCAATTAATTTAAAATTTTATAAAAAATTTAAAAATCATACTATTAACTTTTACAAACAAAAAGTACAACATTAAAAACAAAACAAAGAAATATTGTTTAGCAAAAAATTTAGCTAACAGTATATCCTAGTATTATTAATAGCTACATACGCTGCAATATCTAAGGACATGTAATAATAAAAGTATAATTTTTCAATTATTATTATAAATTTATCAGATCCAATAATAAAAGTTTGATTTTTTAAGAAATAAATAACAAATTGAATTAATAATGAGGAAAAAAAGAAGTACCCAAAAATCCTGTTAACTTGAACCTCCAAAGCATTATTCCTAAAGTTTAAAACAGCAGTGCCAAACATTGATAATAAAGTAAAACTTGCTATATAATTGAGTCGATTGTTTTATTAGTCTGGATTAGATCTGGAAATCAAAATTCCCTTATTTAGATTAAACATATAGAGTCTTATTTGCAATAAGTGTTGCTGAAAATGCTAAGACACCAGTCTGTCTAAGTTTAACAAGATACACAGCCTATTAAAAAACATGTAAGGGTATCTATGATAATTATTAACAATTGTTAGGTGATTTCTTGGTCAACTCATATTAAAGACATAAACCATGATGGCAGAGGAGATACTTGATGAAACATAATGGTGGAGGAGATCTGGAGGAGAGTACTTTCAGAGTATTATGGTACTGATAAAAAAGATGTGTTCAAAGAAAAAACACTTTCTTTTTTAAAAAAGTTTATAAATTTTATAGATGTTACAAGGGTAGAATGGTTTAAATATATGTCAGTTATGTTTCAAAAGTGTAAGAGCAACAAAGAAAGTATTCATTTGAAGATTATAAAAGCAAAGATTCTGGAAGAAATTAAAATCAACATTAGACACACCACAATTAAAAACTAGCAAAGTTGTTGAGCCACAAAATCACTTTGACAAACTTATTTAAAATAAGTTTGTCAAAGTGATTTTATATCAATACTTACAATACTTAGATTTGATATTAATACTTACAATATTTAATACAATATATATATATATATATATATATATATATATATATATATATATATATATATATATATATATATATATATATATATATATATATATATATATCACACATATATATATATATAAATATATATATATATATATATATATATATATATATATATATATATATATATATATATATATACACACATATATATATATATAAATATATATATATATATATATATATATATATATATATATATATATATATATATATATATATATATATATATATATATATTGTATTATACCGGCCCCAGCCCCCAGCTAAAAATGACACTTTTTTCAAACCCGGCGCTGGCCCCGGCTAGACTATAAGAATTAACAGGGGTTGATAGCTGAGGCTAGAAAAAAATTTATAATACTTTTTATATTACAATTTTATGCTTACATTTATTATTTATTAAATACTGGCATATATTTATATATTTTTAAAATTTAATTTACTTCCAACAAGATTGAAAGCAACCACTATTAAATTATAAATTACTTTAAAATAAAGAATAAGTAAAAACACAAGGAAATGGTTAACTGAAGACTTGAAAAGTTGTAGGTTGTATATAAAAGAAAAACTTGAAGATGGCTAATAGTTTTAAGGTTTTTTGGATGTGCAAGGAAAAAAAAACTGGATTAATAAAAGTTTTTATAGCATGAAGGGACAGATACATTAAAAAGATACAACTTACTGAACAAGAAACAAGCAAGAATGAGTTTTGGTTTATTGTAATAGAGATGTTTGCGCATTAACCATGAGAAAAAAATAAAGAAATGCAACCTTTCAACAATGGGAAAGTGGCTCAAGCTTGGTAGATAAAGCAGGTCTAATTTATTATTATTATTGTTTTTTTATGTTAATTCACCTCACCAAGGCCACTACAGACAAGGAGCCTACTTAATTGTGGTTATAACCCTCACTCAACTATATAACTCGAAAACACGAGCCTTGACAAGTTTGACTTAAAATTGAATAGTAAGAATAAAAGCTTGCGAACTTTTGCGATCATCATCATCATCATCATCATCATCATCATCACTACTCTATGTGTAGTATTTACCGAAAGAGATGGTGATAATGATGATGATGATGATGGTAATGATGATTATGATGATCATGTTGATCATAATGATGTTTATATATACATATATACACAAAACATAATATGAATTTTGAATTGAAAAAATATACTTTAGGATGTATAAATGTTTATGCAGCCTGTGTCGCAAACCCGGCCCAGGTTATATTTTATCAAACTCGGTCCCAGCCCTGGTCAAGAATCAACCCTGATTGTTTACTATATGCATGTACCAGAATTCCATTGAATGGAGCTATTTCAAATTTTAGGAATGATAATGTTTACAATAAAATGCAATAAGAATATAACACTTATTCTGATAATGAGTCCACCTCAAATTCATCCAGCAGTGACGACTATAATATACAAGAACTTCAACAGAGATAAATGATTTCAATATTTCACATATATTATTGCTTTGTTAAAAATATTTCAAAATGTTCAACTTCCTAAATATGCAAGAACTTTTTTAGAAACACCAGATAAATTTTTACAAAAAGTTGATGAGGTGGTATGTATTATTATGTTGGTGTTGTAATTGTTGAACTCTTAAACAGAGTTATGCCCAAATAACATATTTTTGAGCTTTTTTTCTTTTCCATGACAAAAGATATTGAAGATTTTTTTTTTGGATTTAATCCAAGAATAATAATGCATGGTTTCCAGAGGGAAAGCAGCAAAATTCTTATCTACATAACATTTGTAAATTATATTGTTAGCAAAAAAAAAAATCTTACTTGCAACATTAAAAAAGATGTTTGATTTGGTGCCAGCATTTTTCCGAGAACCAGTATTTACAATGATTTGATACAAGTAAGTATCTTCATCCCGATTATCAGCAAGTGGACAAACACCAACCTGAAATTATAGTTAACATAACTTATAAAAAATTAATGCATAATATAAAAAACTAATATATATAAAATACTTCCAGAAAAAGTTGTATACCTGCAAGATTAAACATTTTCCATATTGAATTAAATTTAATAATTTAAAAAAAAAAAAAAGTACACCCCAAACACCCTGAATAAAGAAAAAAGTACACCCTGAATCATAAACTCTATTATATCAAAATTTAAAAGATATAAAATTAAGTATTAAAAAAAAAAATACAAATAAATTTCAGAATATTTACACAAATATTTAAGTAAAATGTTTTGCGACAAAGAAAACTCCAAAATTAAACTGATTTTATTAATTATTTTACACCTTGGAAAACATTGCCATCATTATGGACATAATTTTTCAAAGCCATTTTATGTTTTTTTTGTTAGCAATTAAAAAAATTGTCTTGTTTTAATGTAGATGTAATGCAGCTAAAACCAATTAGATATGTAATAATTGTACAGAAAGTTGTAAAAAATTATAAAAAGAAATGAAATTAAAGAATTAGTTTTTTCATAGAGGTTATGCTTTTTGTAAGTAAAACTTTTCAAAAATTTAAAATTTTCAAGTTATTTAGAAACTAATTTATATTTGGCTCAAAAAAATTTTCAGGTTGGTCAAGAAGCAAATATGGAAAATTAGATATGGGTCAATTCATTACAGTTGAACCAAAAATAAAGGATACCATTTCTGATTGCCCTGATTTTAACATTTCTTCATTTGCATTCTGTAGATAAGTTAAATTTAAAAGTTCAGAATTCCAAATGCAATGGTTTAGAAAATATAACTCAATAAACACAACACATCAAATTATGAATTATAAAAACAAACAAAAATTTTTTAACTTTCAATAAGTGTCTCATTTTTCTAGAACTATTTTCTTTAAAATTGTGGTTTATTTTAATTTAAGCTTTAAATTATTTTCTAAATTAGATTCTATTTTTTCTAGATCTGTTTTTTAGTTAGATGTTTTTATTAACTTGTATCGTATTAGAAAAAAAGTATAACCTCTTTAACTTTAAAAAAAAACTAAAAATTGATGAAAAAACAAACAAAATGAAGTTAACTGTAGCTTTTTTCTATTCATTACAGGTAAGTTTTCTATTTATCTGCTATTGTATGTTGTCTACGGGAAAAAAAAAGCAGCATTTTGCTACTTAAAATTCAAATCTAAAGCTAAGTAAAAAATTGTCCATTTGCAAGAAAAGTCTGAAAAGCCATTTTAAATTAAAAATATACATAAAATAAAAGAGAAAGAGCATCATTTAAAGGTCCGCTGCAACAGTATTCCATTGCTGCAGATATGGCAACAGTATTGCATACAATGATGAACTAGAGAAATTTAGAGATGATGAAATTGGTGAACATGATAAAGAGGTGCAACCTTAGCAGATGCTAATTTTGCAAAGGATTTGATATATGGTTTCCAAGAAAGATCAAAAGTAAGAGTTATTTTTAGAAAACGAAAAGTAGATGACTCAACAAGTCATAAAAAGTGACTCAACAATTACCATTCATAAATATAGAAAGACATAGATTATTGAAAAAATGATTAGCTGAAAAAAATTGAGTTTTATATAATTAAAGTTATAACTGGGCTATAACAATCAAAATTTCCAGCAGGCACAGACGCTCATTTATGCCTAGAATAACTAAATAGATTATACGATAACAGATAAACTTGCATTTCAATAAATTTTTCAAACAATATATTTAATTATTTATTTACTACAAAACTGTAATACAGGTTGCTTACTACTAGTTGTTATTACAAGTAATTTTAATCATAAATCATTGGAAACATTTAAAAAAATGAAAAATTACCTTCGAGATATCTTGTCTATCTAATCTTCTTGTGATTAACAGTCCAAGCAACCATAATGAAATTACTGTTATAACTGTTATAAGTAATACATATCCTTTTTTTATTTTTGATATAGAAAGTGTAGGTAAACGATTGGGAGCAACAAAAAATCCGCCAAAAGTTGTCAAATGATTGCATTTACATTTGGTCATTAAAAAACTTGTGTGATCAACATCAAGCTATAAAAATTATTAATATATTCTTAATTTAAATTTTTAATGGAGACAGCGCACCGAAAATTTAAGCAACAAAATTTCAAAAATTATTAGATTATCAAACAAATCAAAAAGCTATTTAAACATGCAGACAATAATGTAACTATATTATTTACTCATTCACTGCTATTTTAACTATGCAAATATTCTGTGGGGCAGTACTAACAAAAGTAAACTTAAGTCTTTTTATTGTATTTAGAAACATATAGCACATTTAGTTAATTCTTGTGATCGACAAACTTATTCAAAGCCTAACTTACCCATCAAATGTTGTGTTCATGTTAAAAACAATGTTAAAAAAAAAGGTTTGAACCAAGTTTTTTTGATTAAAAATAAATAACGAATGCATACCGAAAAAAACTAATGTTGTTTTTTTAGCCAAAGCTCACCTTGTCCATTTTTTACAATAAATTAAATTATTCGTTGCAATCTACAGACTTTGATTCGTTCATCAAATGCTAAAACTTTTATGAATTAAACACGATCCTTTGAAGCGCGTTTAATTCATAAAAGTTTTAGCATTTGATGTCACGGTAGATTTTTAACAATAGAAAAGTGTTATTAAACAAAGCTGCGTTTTCCTACTTTAATTCAAAAAGTACGATGTAGTAATTTTTTAACATACAGCTAAACAACTCTTACAACAAGTTTTTGTAAAAACCTAAAATAATAAAAGCTTTTTATTTCATAGGAGGAGCTTTTTTTTTACCAATATCTTAATAATTTTTAGATTTATATATCTTACTTATAATTCTTTTGTTTTTAAATTAAAACAAATATTAAAGCTTTACTTACGAATCTTATGATTTTCATATGAGTGTTTTACATTAAACGTTTTATATATGGTCTCTTGTTTTTGCGCAAGAGAGCGCAGTATTATATATTCTGATTCTTAATTATTTTCTTTTAAACAATGGGAACTATTTTCTAACTTCTCTAGTTATTTTTACGCAATGATATTTTTTGTTTTCCTGTCGAAAAAAAGTATTTATTAACAATTAATTTCATAAACTGACAGTATTAATTAGAGATATTTGATGAATTGTTAACTTTTTTTTATGATAAATTTTTTTTTGACTAGTACCTGCTAAGGTTATGAAAAAAAAGTACAAGAATACACTAAACAATACAGTTGACAGTAGTATCAGATATGAAAATTTGTGAAAGGATATGTGAGATCCTGGTTTTGCTTTAAAATACAATTAATAGCAACACAAGTCAGTATTATAAAATTTTGATTATAAGTTTACTGTTCAATATTTTATAACCATCAAATAAAAAACATGAAGTTTGTATATTTTCGCCTATTTTATACAACTAATATTTAACAAAAATACGGACAAATTGTTATTATATAACACAATAATTAACACATTAATTAATGACAATAATTCAAGATGAATGGTAATTTAAATTGTTAAAATGTCAATTTAAATTTAATTAATTAAATTAAATTAAATTTAAATAATTTAAATAATTGTTAAAATGTCAATTTAAATGGTAATTTAAATTGTTAAAACGCGTGTTAAAAAACATATATTTGGTATTTCCCAATTTGTGTCATATTTGGCATTTGTCTCTTAACATGAAAAATTTTAACAAAAAAAATTTTAAAACACAACAAATACTAATTTTCAATTTTCTCTTCCAATTTTCATTTATTCAAAGAAAAGTTACTATTAAACTTTTATTTCTCTCATCTAAAAAACGAATGAGTGACGCAAAAAAAAAAAAAAAAAAAAATCTATACAACTCTTATTCATTCAAAGTTTAATTACGCGAAACTTTTCTTTCTCTTTTGTTCTACTCTTTTATAAAAAGCGTGAGCGATGAAATAAAAACCTTTCTTTCCTAACATAAATTTATATTTAAATAAAATTAATTTAGAAATAAATCAACAATGAACAAAGTAACTAACAGATTAATCTGGGACTATTTTGATATAAATGAAAATAATCAACAAATAAACAAAAAATATCCCATAATTTTAGGGGCTTTTTATTTTTATTGCTTAGTCATTCTAAATAATAAGTAAATTTAGTTCAAGTTAATACTTCAATATTTACAGTTGCAATATAATAAAGAAATGATGTTTAATGTTGAACTTTTTATTAAATTATTTACTTTTTACCTACATTTGTTATAAAAAATTTTCAAACACCTGTCATTAAAATAATTTGTTTTAAATATATTTCAAAGTGATTATTCAAACTAATTTTTTTCGCTTGACTTCTCAAACTGAAGTTTAAGAAGTCAAGCGAAAAAAATTAGTTTGCAAAGCAAATTGAGATGAATTATTGTCTAACCAAATAAAAATGCTGTTACTAATTTTATAAGAATAATTAATGTAAAACAATTTTTTATCAGAGTCTTGATTGAGATAATAAATATTCATAATTTATAAACATTAAATATATGGCGCAATAACAATTTATAGCAACAAACTAGCATAAAATGTTTGAGCTTTTTAATATCTTTTGAAATGTTAAAAATAGAAAGAAAAAAAACTATACAAATAATCAAAAAAAGTTCAAATAAAAATAAATAAAAATATTTCCAGAGTTTCATTTGTTAAAAGTCTACCGTGACGTCATATACTAAAACTTTTATGAATTAAATGCACTTCAAAGGAATTGCCAAAGTCTGTAGATTGCAACGTATAATTTAAAGACTCTGAGTTAGTGTATAAAATGGAGAAGACGAGATTTGGCTAAAACAACAACTTTAGTTTTTCTTGATATGCATTCATTATATATTTTCAATCAAAAAAACTTGGTTTAAACCTTTTTTTTTAACATTATCTTTAATATGAACACAACATGTGTTGGAGTTTGGGATCCCTTTAAGAAAAAAATGATACAAAAAAAAAAAAAAAAAATGAAGTTAAACAAGCAACACAATTAAGAAACTAGGTTTTTGAAATAAAACATGATACTTATAAAAGATGAAACTTTTAAAAAAATACTAACAAAATGAACTTTAAATCACAACTTTAACTTTAATTGATTCAAACATTGATTAATGCAAAAAAAGTGGTTGAAAAAATTGTTTTTGCCAAAATATAAGAAAAAACTTAAACATTTATGATTATTTGTTATTACTGTTTCTGTTTATTTTTTAATTTCAAAAAATTTCATTAGTAACTAAACTTTAAATAAAAATCTAACATGCCTGACATCCATCTGACATCCATTTGTTTGCATCTTCATTCCAGTAACTGCATTCAACACAAAATGATTTCATTTCATAATCAAACTTCCCAAAATACTCTGTCTCATCAAAATTATATATGTTTGTAACTAACTTTTTAGCTGGCATTGCACCAGAATACAAAAACATAAAATGTAGTTCACTTTTATTTAACAATGAGTATGTTGAATTGTCAAAATTCCATAACATTATTGCACCATCAGCAAGAAGCAAAACATCTTGATTTCTTTGTAAAGCTCTATTAGAATCTTTAGTTATTGTTTTGCTAATGTTCAATATTGCTGTATCGGTTAAATGGTTATTTTTTGTTATGACAACACCCTGTTTGACAGAAATGTTGAGCATAATGTCATAATCAAGTTTTGTTGCTACTTTTCCATATTGAATATAAACAATAAGATTTGTTAAATTATTTTCATCATTTTTGAAAATGAATTTTAAAAGCATCTTACAGCCTGATGCGATTGAAAGGCTGACATGGTATGCATCGTTAGGCATAGATAAAGATATATTTTCCCCATTCATTGTTTCAGGTTTATTTCTTATTGAAATGTTTATTGGTTGAGAGCTGTTACTTACTTTTATTGGATGACCATTAGAATCAGAAAAAAAAAGAGTTTGAGTTTCTGTGCGAATGTTTTGAGATCGATCAGTATCCCATGTTTGAACAACATCTTTCATTCTTACATTCTAAATATATATATATATATATATATATATATATATATATATATATATATATGTATATATATATATATATATATATATATATATATATATATATATATATATATATATATATATATATATATATATATATATATAAACACAAAACAAAAATTAAGAAATTAAAAACTTTATGCAATTTAGCTGAAAAACTTACATGAATTGAAATTTGTGAATTTTTTAAAGACTCATTAAACAATTCCTTAGAATCTGGTAAAGAAAATCCACCATCAGATGAACCAATAAAACTGTTATTTAAACCAATAAAAATATCTTTTTTTAACAAAAAATCAAACTGCTTTGTTTCGCCAACTGTTATATTTTCACCTGGAACTTTGTATGATTGTACTGCTATTAAATAGTTTTCCATTGATTTTATTAATTGTGACACTATTTTTTCATTTTGCTAAATTTATTAAAACATTAATTCTTAAAATTAAAAGGTAATTAATATTTGCAGATAATTATTATGCGATTAACAATAAAATTTTTAATATTATTTTCATTATTTATTTGAGTGTTAAGTAAAATTGATTTATAGTTTTTGAAATATTTCAAATTATTTAGAAATATTAAACTTGTAATACTCTAGACATATTTATTTTAACATTTGTTAAAAATTTGAAATAAACTAATAAGCCAGTTAAGCGATCACAAATTTAAATTTCCTCTAAAATATCTCCATTCATTAAACATTTGGTACCTATTCATTAAACATTTGGTTTATGTTCTATTTTTATTTGTAGCAACTTATTGTTCTGATAAAATACAAATAAAAAACTTAAATAAAAAATACTATATTTACTTGCAAGTAATTTAATGACGGTATCGAAGGAGTAAGTTGCAGCAAGTTAGAGAGTGAATTTACAAATGACTGGGACATAGTCTCAAATTTTTCTGCACCAAAACCTTTCAGATGTTTTTTGGTGAATAATTTAGCTAGTTTATCTACTATAGATGCTGCTTGATTCTAAAAAATAATTTAGTTTAAATAATTACATAAGTTTTCTATAATATTTCTACGCCAAAATTTCTATAACATCCTGATACAAAAAAGATTTTAATAATCAAAAAAACTTGTTTAGTTTACTACTTTCTTGTTTGATAAAAAATAATTTGAAGACTATTTGCATTTTATACAAACTATTTTTTGACTTATCTTTTCAAAAAATAATTAATACCAAAATTTATATGTACCAAAATTTATAAAATTTATAGAATATTTATTTCCTAAAATACCTAAATTATAGTTTTAAATTATTCAAGAAAACCAAAAAGAAAACTTTCTATTAACTAATAAACAACACATTAACAAAATACCTGAGCCTGAGGAACAATCTCTAATGGGTTTTGTGTTGTAACAACTAAAGCATCACTTATTGATTTAAAAGAATTTAAGTCGTCAAGCAACAAATTGCTCATTAAATCAATTAACTGTGTGCGTAACTAAAAATCATAACAAATATTTTAGACAATCATATACATCATTATAAAAGAGCATTTAATTTTTCATTAAAATTATTGATTCTAATTTATGAAATATTTAATTGAAAAAAAAAACTTTTTGATGTGGTTGCTGTAATAAACTAGATTCATTTTTATATGTGTACATTGCCTATATATGTACATATAAAGTTAATATACATATGTATTGTGTACATCTTTTTACTAGCTTTCCAATCAAAATATTTTATGAACGCGAACCTATTTTATTAAAATGAATATGTAATAGGGGTGATTTCAATTTTAAAAAAATACTTTAAAATAGCTATGGATTCAGATCTATACAGTACTAATATATTCAAAAGACTTATTTTGAAAGTGTGCACCAAATCAAGACAATTTTTATCAGAGTATATTTAAAAAAAATAAAAAAATAAATAAAGAGATAAACAATAGTAAGTTTTTGTAATACATATCTATAGTTTATTTAAACAAATAATTACATAAAATTCACAATAGAAAACTCAGTATCACAAATAAATATGAAAATTCATAAAAAACTTTTTTCAATATCTTGTCCTTAGGGGACAAAGTTACAGTAAGGTAATGTTTATATATTTAAAAAAATAAAAAAAATAAATATATAAAAATTATATTGTTATACTATATTAAAACCTAAAGAAATCCTAAAGTGCTAAGACAAGGTAAAAAAGGGAACCCAAAGTACTGAGAAAAGTTGTGTTCATATTAAAGAGAATGATAAAAAAAAAAATGTTAATAAAAAATGTAAATAACACTAATAATATTAAGAGGTCGCTGTAACGACTGGTGTTAACAGTTGTGGAGCGCAATAACAGTTGATATTGCACTCTATCAGCTTTGCACAATTCCTAAATCTCTAAACCAAATTATCTTAAAAGCAATTTTGTAATAAAATGTCTTCGCAAATATTTGATTTATCTAGTTTGTTTTTGAACTGATTAATTGAATCAGCTTCTATTATGTCACTCGGTAGATTATTCCATATATTGACTATACGATTAGAGAAAAAATTTGATCTGATTATTATTATTTTTGCAGAATAGTTTTTTTAATTTGAATTTATGTTGCCTCAGATGGGAGCCTTCTTGTGACGCGGTATAATTGTAGTTTGAAACCCAATTTACTTTATCAAAACCATATTGAATTTTGTATTGTTGGATTAGATCACCACATATTCGCCATTCTTCTAGAGTTGTTAATTGCATAATATCTAATCTTATCTCATATGGTATTTTTTTCAATGCTGGTGCTAACTTTGTGGCTCTTCTTTGGTCAACTTATAATTTTCTTTGCGCTGGTCCCAGCTAAAAATGAGACTTTTTGCAAACATGGCCCTGGCAAAATTATAAGATTTAGCAGGGGTTAATAGTCAGGCTAGAAAAAAAATTTATAATACTTTATATATTATAATTTTATGCTTTCATTTACTATTTATTAAATACTGGCATATATTTATACATTTTCGCACTCTAGCTTACTTCCAACAATATTGCAAGCAACCACTATTAAGTAATAAGTTACTTTAAAATTGAGAACCAGTTAAAATACTAGAAAACGTATAACTAAAGACTAAAAAGTTGTAAGTTGTATAAAAAAAGAAAACATGAAGTTGGGTAAGTTGGAAAAAAACTGGATTATTTATCATGCTGTAAAAATTTTTTAAAGCATCAAGGGACAAATACAGTAAAAGGTTGAATAAATAGCCTTGATTGGCTATTTATTCAACTTGTTGAATAAATAGCCAATTAAGAAAGAGTTTTGATTTATTGTTATAAAGATGATAGCTCGTTTGAGCATTGACCATGATGAAAAGATTAAAGTAATTTAGGTATCAACATGTAGAGATATAGCAGCTTCAGTAGAAAATGGTTGTGACAAAAGTCAGAAAATTTGAAGATAGTGTCTTACATATTTTATGAATGAGCTTTAGTTAGGAAAAAAAAAAGCTCTAGATTGTTTATATTAGAGAAATCATCATCATCATCATCAACAGCTTAAAAGAAGAAAGCTCAAGTCTGATGATGGTGATGATAATAATAAAGATGATGATGATCATGATAATGATGATGATAATCATCATCGTCATTATCATCCTCAAGCCTTCCTTTTTTATGCTGTTGATGATGATGATGATGATGATGATTATAATGATGATGATGATGATGATTATAATGATGATGATGATGACGATGATGATGATAATAATGATGAATATGATCATCATAATGATGTTTATGTATGCATATATATAAAAAATATAACATGAATTTAAAGTTAAAAAAATATTCATTAGGATGAATAAATGTTTATGCAGCCCTGGCCACAAACCCGGCCCCGGCTATACTTTATCAAACCCAGTCCTGGTCAAATATTAAACCTAATCGGTTACTAGTTGCAGCACACGTTAGAAAAAATATATTTAATATTTTCCAATTTATATGTCTATTTTGCAAGTATTTTACAACCTTTTTTTAAAACCTGCCCCTTAAAATTACAAATTGAAAAACTACCAAAATTGATAATAAAAAGTTTTTCATTAAACTATTTCAATTTTAAATTTATTCAATAATGCTACACTTTATTGCAATCTTGACCAATAATTATTAAATTTTAAAAATAGAGTAAAATAAATAATTTCATTAAATATATTCTCGCATGATTAAATAAGAACTTACAGAACATTTGTACTCAATGAAAAGTTTAGCAAATAAATGCTGATAAATAAACTTTGATAAGGTTACCTCTTTCACTACCAACAGTTTTAACAAAAATCTTTATGCTATGACCGCATATTTTTTTGAATAAAATTTGAATGGCATAACATTGACAACTAATTAAAATTTGAATAGTAAATCTCTTTAAAAGCATAACAATCTATATATCAATTGAAAGCAAATGAAAAAGAACCTTTTTATTAAATAAGTTTTTAACATGCATCATTGACCAATAAGAAATGCAAAGTGCTTAAAATCATTGTTTTTATAAATAGTAACTAAAACATTAAGTCCAAAACAAAACTCATTTAATCTATAAAAAGAATGTTTTTCTTCAAAAGACATTTGTAATTGCTTAGCTAAATACTTATACTTTTCTACAAGTTAAATGTTACAGAGTTAACTCTGCTTTATTTTAGAACTAAAATTAAAGAAGTTTTTTTTTATTAATGATTACTCAAAGTTTTTCAAACTTTGTCAGGTGATAACTTTTTATAATATCTTGAGAATTAATCAAATCTAAAGAACAAACAAATTATATGTGTCTAGAGTGAAAATTTGTGTACAAAACAAGATAAATTGTGAAGCATACTCAAAAGCTGCTATGAGTGGCTTGCAGTCAAAACTTGAAAAAATGAAAAGCTGCTGTCAGTGGCGTGCGGTAGTGTTAAATAATACAAAATAATTTTTTTAACAGAATTTCAATAAGGAAAATAATCATTTAATAACAAATTTAACACAAAAACTAATTTATAGCAATAGACCAGCTTAAAATATCTGAAATACTTTATTCATATTTTAAATAGGAACTTAGTGAAATTAAGAAAATAACATAACTAAAGAAATTCTATAGTAATTTATAATGAAAAAAAAACTTTTTTATATTAATAAGTAATTAAACTAACTCTTTAGTAATCTATAATTAAAAAAAAAATTCTATAATTTAATAAAAAAAATTTCTTATTGAAAGATATAAGATTTTTTTTCAAAATTTTTCAATGACATCATTTACTAAAACTCTTTGGAAATAAATGCACTTGAATAAATTATAAAGTCTGTAGATTACAATATATATCTTAAAGACTTTAAAGAACTGGCTAACATGGAGTTGATGAGCTTTAAGTAAAAAAACAAAGTTTTTTTTTCTTGGTATACCTTTATCATTTTGTTTTACTTAAAAAAATTCTGCCTAAACTTTTCTTTTAATCATTCTCTTTAATATGAACACAACTTGTCTCGGCACTTTGGAATCCCTATAAGTCATGTTTTTTGATTTAGCTTTTATATTATGCTATCTAAATATAGTAATAAAGTTAAGACAAAAAAAATTTACTTGTACTAAAATTTTAATTAAATCTTAAAAAAAACAATATTTTGAAATTATTCAAAAATTTTGAAAATAAACAAACTTTAATTAGTTGTTTACTAAAGCATTTTTTCAACATTTAGTTGAACATAGTATTTAGTTAAACATAGTATTTAGTTGAACATAGTATTTAGTTGAACATAGTATTTAGTTGAACCTGTCATTTCAAAAAGAGCACAAGTCCATTTATTTAAACTTTTCAAAATCAGCAAAAACATGAGTTTTATTAAAATGTTTATGCTGCTAAAGAAATTAAACATAGAAGTAAACAAATAAAGAAGGTATATAGTTTATGTAATTTTTATTTTTTATAAAAAAAACATAAATCATACAAAAAATTTTAATACAAATTTATAAACTAACTGTTAAAATTTGCGGACTTGTGCCTTTTGCGAAATCACAGGTACAATTGTAAATGTTACACATATGCTTTTAAAGAATATCTATCAGATAAAACTGAATATATAAATTCATACTTCTTGTAAACTAGACAATTCTTGCTGCTTTTGTTGTTTCAAAATATCTTCATCAACAATACCAAATAATTCATTAGCAGACAACGCAGTGATATTATATTGATTTGCAAAGTTTTTGTTTATATTATTGCTAACTGCTTGAACAAGATTAGCAATACTTTGTGTATCATTAAGACTGATGTTAGCTACCAAGTTTTTGAAATTCAATGTTTTATTATTTGGGTAAACCTATATATGTAAACAAAGATTTAAAAAAAATGTTTAACTTATTTTATAAATAAAAACATGTTTTGAAAGGTTTTATTTATAATTAAATAAAAATGTTCCCTAAATACTTTTTAAAAGTAGTATTTGAAAAAAAATATGACATTAAACAACATTTGTTATACATTTGAAAGACTTATTCATTTAGTATGAAAACAAAATATTAATTATAAAAAAACAAACATTTCAATTATTTCAATTGAACTTTAATAAATTTAGCTTTATGTATCAAATTGGTTTATTCAAAATTCTTTCATTTTAATGATGCTAATTAAAGATTAAACAAAACTCATAATTTTCTTCTTTTATGTTATATATATATGAAAATTTTTTTTAAAGTTTATTGAATTTCAGTTTTTTATTTATAAAAAAGATATATATATTATAAATACATATTAATCTTTTTATCAGTATTTTTTCCTTTTTCTTTTATTATTTTAATTCACTTTAACATACTTTATTTAAATATATGAAACTTAAAATAACTAAAACTTAAAATATATGAAAAGTTTAAAACTTTAGTTTAACTTTTAGTTAAATGATGTTGTTTGAAAATCAAACAAATATCAAAAGTTTCTTTATTGAGTTTTACATATATGTTATAAAACTGCATCATTTTTAATAGTCATAATTTTTAAGGTCCTTATCATTACCCTGATTTAACATAAGTTTTTAAAAGTTCATAAATGCCAACCTTGATATATAGATAATTTTCCGTGTATGCTTGGTACTTTCCAATCACTTTTATAATAATTCTGATTTTGAAATCGTTGTTCTCATCACCTGGACCCATTACAAAGTTTATTAAACTTGGTTGGTCAGTAGTACTTGGATTTAACATGGGATAGTCTATTGAGGTTACACTACTAAGTTTTAATTGCTGTGACTGACCATTATCATAATAAAAAGCGTAACGAAGCAATCCATCAGAATCTCTCCATCCATCACAAATAAGTATAAACTTTGTTTCAAGGGCAATCCCTTCTGTTGGGCTAAAGAAAACATGCTTTTTTTTAGTTTTGATTTAGGTATAATAAACAATTTATATAAATAAAAATAAATTTACCTTAAACTTTAACTCAACAAAATAAAGTTCATATAAAATCTACTTACTTGATAATGCAATATCCTGGAGTAGGCTGAGAACAAGTTGACTTTTTAATCTTTAATTTAACTTTTTTGACAGAATTCACGTAGCCAACCATCAAGTTAAATGTGTAGTTTTTTGATTCAAGAAGAATATCTTTATTAATTACAAGACTGGGGATTAAAAACCCTGTAGAAGTAGCATTTTGAACAGAAAGTTCTTCTGGAAAATTTCCTTTATCATCTTCTATAGTCCAATTTGCCTCTAATCTAAAAAAAAAACTTTTCAAATATTCAGTAATTATGTAATTTTGTGTCAATTTGTTTCACCATATTTAGAGCTTATTCTTTATAAAAATTTGAAAAATATATGTTCATGATTTATTACTGCATATATTATTTGTGCTATAATTACCTCTCATAGTTCCCAAACATATTAACAGAACAGTGTCATTTAATGAGTTTTGCTTTTTAGACATTTTTATTTTTCGTTTGAATACAAAATGCTGCATTTTGTATCATATCATAATTATTTCTTTGTTTATAATTTACATTTCAAAACCACATTTGTAGTTTAATAGCATATTTGCATTTCGAAATTATAAAAATGGTTGAAATATGAAATAAAAAAAGTGTGTATTTTTGATCGATTTTTATTATGAACAGAAACTTTAAATAATTTTCTTTACAATTGTTTTACATAACATAATGAATAAGTAAAGAAAAGAAAGAGACATACCTTAGTGCAAACAAATGCACATTTAATTAATAAAATTAACATTTAATTCATAAAATTACTAAAAAAAATCCTTTACCACAACAGCTAAGCACAATGGCTATTTGACTAATATAATAGAGTTAAGGTTTTACTCAAAGTTTGAAAAAAAGTTTTTTTTTCTTTTTATATTTTTTATAAAAAGAAAAAAAAAGAAAACATAATGGTTTTATCACAGAGCACCCCAATAGAGCATTTACCTAGGAAGTTCACCCCTCCTTTCTTTCCTATGGCCATAAATATGCCCAGAGCTCATTTTAAACCCTGGATCTCTAGCTGCTAAAGCAAGCACTCTAATCACTTTACCACGGCTGGATTTATTTACTTTTTGTTTGCTCATAGTTAAGTAGTTTTATTGGGTAAAAAAATATAATTGTATAACTATTAACTAAATAATTAGGTATGAATAGATTTTAGAGATTTCTTGGTTTACAACATCGAGCCTTTATTATAATTTATGTAAATGATGAAATATTGTAAATTTTATAGTGCAAAACTATTAAAAAATAGCAATAATTTTTTAAAAAATAGCAATAATTCTTTTCCTAACCTTTTAAATTAACATAAATGAAATTTAACAATATTTAACAAACAGTTTTAATGAGTATATAAAAACTAAATTAAAAAAAAACTATATAGATGAAATAAATGTACACAACAAGTCTATATTGATGCATATATGGTATACTGCACACGTATACAGTCAGGAGGAATTTAGACCATTTTTGACAGCGTCGACCATATTTGGGCGCCAAAATACGGTCGATTTTTTAAAAATGTTTTTTACGATAAACATTGTTTTTTTTTCGCAATGAAAATGCAGATTTTCTGCTAAATTACTCCGGGGATGGAGGGGCTATGCCGCCTAAATTTTCTTCCTAAAATAGGCCCTGACAGTATACATTGATACTCAAGCAATATACATTGATAAACATACACTATCCATTTATACATATACAGTATACATTGATAAACATACAGTTTATATTGTTATATATATATATATATATATATATATATATATATATATATATATATATATATATATATATATATATATATATATACACAGTATACATTGACATGTATGCAGTATACATCAATACATAAGCATTATACATAGATATGTATACAGCATACATTGATATGGAAACAGATATATATCAATACATAAACAATATACATTGATAACATAGCATTAAACATTGCAATTTATGGTAAACATAAAAACTTATGTACCTTCGATTGCCACAATCTTCACAGTCAAATGAATATATTGTGCGTTCTTTAAAATTCAGTTTAGTATCGCAGTTAGATATGCACCTAATTATTAAACGATAAGTTATACTTCTATTGACTAAGTTCGAACAATATATTATATATTAAACTAAAAACATATTTTTCAAAAAACCATTAAAACAAAGGGAAAATTAAGAAGTACAAAAAAAAAAAAAAATAGAATGGTAATAAAATTGAATTAATGTAAACAAATTACTTTATTTATATTTCTACATTCATTATTTCTGCATAAGTACATACATTAGAAATTGCAGGAAAAAGGTTGCTGATTTGGTACCAACCCTGTTTATTTCTTAAACAGTTAAGTTCATTAGTTTTTTTAATACAAAGTTTTTAAATTTATTAATAATATATATTTTAGTGGCTATAACTATGAAAAACCACTAAATTTTTATGTATGTAATAAATGGTTATGAACAATTAAAAGTTTATTTTTGAAACTTTTTAAAGACTATTTGTCCAATGAATCAATTATGTAACTAATTAAGAAAAAAATTTAATTTTATATTCTCAAAAATGGTAGTTGAAACACCAAACAAAAAACTGTTATAATAATAGAAGCGTTAATACTTTTTTTGTTGTTGTTGTTGTTGTAATATTAAATGTTAGAAACTAATGCAAAATTGATCTAGAAAACTACAAAAAAAATAAATAAACATAATGGTGTAAACTAGGCATCAAATGGAAAATATGTTGAACTACCGGTTAGTCATTGTTTTAAAAGTTAGTGAAGAAATTAAAAAAAAAATATACAGAACATTAAAAAAAAGTAAATTTCAGGCAAAAGAAAAATAACTTTTTAAAGTTATTTGATAAATCTGCATGCAGAAACAATCATTCTCTTTTAAATTGTTACGTCAGGTTTGATTTAATAATACACATAACAATTTATACTATTTATAAACAAGTGTGATAAAAAAAATTGTAACCGCAACTGACAACAAATTTTATATCAGTCTTTGTGAAGTTTTAAATCTTACATCATTTTTCCCTTTAGTATTGTTTGTTACAAAAGTTACTCCAAAAAGCACTTTGTCTTTGTGAAAAAAACAAACAGGGTTTTTTTGTTTGATTTTTTTTGTTTAGGAGGGAAAGGAGGAGTTGTTTAATTTTTTTTTTTAATTTAATGTTCTAGTTTTAGTAGAAATATTTATATATAAAAAAAAAAGCTGAACAAAGCGCATTCAGAAACTGGCCAATAGTATCAAAAAGAAGTTTTTTGCAAAATTATTTTCTGAAACAAATTACACTAAATTAAGATTCAAAGTATGTGATGCTGCAACACCTGCCATAGCCACTGTTATCATATTAATAGTCGATCAAGTTATAACTAAAAATGAAGATCTCAAATTATCATTATCAAATTATCACATATATCATTGAAAAAAGATATTTGATACAAAGAAGTATATTTCAACTATAATTAATAATAAGCGTTGTCCAGAGGTTTTCCAATTATAAGTCATCAGAATAGATAGCAAAAAAGTTAAAATAAAAACCAATATATTGGGATAATTTTGCTAAACATAGTATTAACAGAACAGTAAAAGAAAAACATCACCTAACTTTTATTGCATAGTAGACCTTTTCCTGAAATATATTTGACACATATAAAAATAAAAAATGGAGCAGGACAGCTGAGACACTAAAAATACTCAAAAAACAAGTTTTGAAACACTACAAGCCATTGTCCTTGATAACACTTCTGCTAAGTTTGAATAATGGATTAATAGTCTCTATAGAAAAACTTGAAAATCGAGGAGTTTTTTTTTTTGTTCATTTAATGTGTATTTAATCAAAATTAGATACCACATTAAAATAAAAAATATAAACCCTATCTGCCAAATAGCAGATATTCTGCAAAATTTTTGAATTTGTTTTGATTCATATAAGATATAAGGGATCAAGCTATCAAGCATATTCTGCACATAAGATATTTAAGAGAAGTAAATCCTAAAGTAAAACCAAAAATGAAAGCAAAAACATTTATGCTCATTAATTGATACTTGGAGTTGCTACCTTGTAAATGGAGGTTGAACCTCTAACTTATAACCTTATTTCATAATTTGAATTTCAGAACTTAGCAAACTGTTCAAAAACTTATTCTTTCAACTTTAGCTAAAAACTAGTTATTAGTAAAAAAGTCTCTAAAGCTTGTATTAGAGGTAAAGAAAGTTTATAGTCAAATTAAAAGATATAGCTCAGAGGTAAAGAAAGTTTATGGTTATATTAAAAGATATAGCTTAGAGGTAAAGAAAGTTTATGGTCAAATTAAAAGATATAGCTCAGAGGTAAAGAAAGTTTATGGTCAAATTGAAAAACTCATCCTAACTAAAACCATACTAAGTTTAAAATTAAAAAAATACTTTATAACTTTATATATTTTTTTAATATATAAAAATAACTTAACTAAGCATCTTGTTTTTTTTATTTTTATTTTTTTTATTTAATTCACCTCCTCAAAGCCTAGAAGGTTACTACAGACGAGGAAGTTACTTATTTGTGGTTATAACCCTCTCTCAATTCTATAACTCCGAAACACGAACCTTGATGAACAAGACCGCTGCGTGGAGAAACGAGTTAAGCGCGGTACTACCAGGGACATGGTGGGGATCAAATTCGAAACCACTCGTTTATGAAGCAAGTGCTCTACTTTTTATTTGGTTTATTGAGTTTTACTTTTTATTAGGTCTCTAATAAGTGTTCTAATAAGTGTTCAACCAATAGCCTGCGATAAAATGTTTTTTACTGTTTTACTAAATAAACATTGACACAGTAATATTAATTTTTCATACTAATCAAAAGTAGATATGGATAGGATTGATTTTGTGTGCAACACAAATCAAAAAATTAAATAAGAAACATCTAGCGATTAGGACAAAAGACTTTTTTATTGCCTTAATTAACTTTTTCTTAAAGGGACAACATTTAAAGTAGTAATGGAAAACTTTTGTCTGCCATTAACAGTACACTCATTAAAAAGTTATTTATAGTGATTTTTGTAAATGTAATTTTTTGATTTATTTTCTCCCCTGGAAATATCATTAAAAGATAAATGGGTGTAAGTGGTAATACTTGTGTGCCTGTTTTTAATGGTCAAGTTATACTGCATAAAATATATAAAGATAATGTAGTTTCATGATAGAATTTCAGAATATAAAAATCTTTACAAAAGTATACCAATATTGAAAATGCTATACAAATTAATCAGTTAAAAAAATTTAGGATATATACCAGGCCTTTGCTTAAGAAGCATAAAAAATAAAAAAACTTAACTTGAAAAATAAAAGTTTTAAATAATAACAAAATAAATATTAGTAAGACCAGAAAAAATTAAAGCATTTAATAATTGATGTAAACTTAATTGTAAGCAAAAGTTAAACAATTTTTTTTTATCAATTTTTATTAGGGATATACCCAAGCTTCGGCTTCAGCAAAAATTCAGGGTTTTTAGGTAACACTGAAAAACAAACTGTGGATATCTTGAATGTCATTAAGTGTTTCTTAAGTAATATTTTATGTTGATTTCAAATCTGAAAACTGTTATGCTCCATCAGGACAATTTTTTAAGATATTGTCAAGTATATACATATACGAAACCATTATATATATATATATATATATATATATATATATATATATATATATATATATATATATATATATATATATGTATATATATATAATTTCGGTAGCTCTAGCCACGTTTGTGTTTTTATCTAATATAATTGATGCAGCATTAACTTTGAAAATACAAGTTTTGTGCAAAAAAATACATTTCTTATTTTTTGCAGTATTTCATTGAAAATTAAAATTTAAGATCCTGGATATTTCAAAAATGGAGGTTGATGGAGGCAAACGGTTTGCATAATCTAAATCAGCACACTCAAATTAATTAAAATTAATTAATTTAATCAATTTGGTGAGAATTGTTTTACCAAGATATTCACAGAAATTTATTTTTTGTTCTACAGTGTAATTAAAGATAATAAGCTACTGTTATATTAAAGCTACTGTTATATTGTTTAGGGTATAATTACTATGATTCTACTACTTGCAAATTGTTTCTTTTAATTCTTTGGCATATGCCTCGGCATTGCAACATGCCGCAAACTATATTGTAACTATTTTTTTATCCGCTTATCAAAATCAATTCCTGTTTTTTTATATTTTATTTAAGTTTTCATAAATTGTTTTTATAAATACAAAGTTATTGTTTGTCTAAAATTTGCAATGACGTTTAAACCCCGTTTCAAATTAAATTTTTTAAATAAACGGATCATGTTTCAAATATTTGAAGAAATTTTTTATCAAGAGTACTACCCCTTTCATTTAGAGCATCATTTACAACAAGTTTCTGATCGTGATGGTCAAATCAAAAAAAGAAAACTAATAAGCATGGACATATACAGCTTTTTTGGCCAAATGGGTACAAATGAAAATGCTTCACAGAAATGTGAAAGCACTTATGGAGGGAAAAAAAGTATAATAGTGCAAATCCAAGAGGAAAAACTCAAGTTCTAAAAGGAAAATGGTACGAGTAAAAAATATTTAAATAAAATAATTTGTTACTTTGTTTATTTATTACAATTTTAATTAAAATTGATGTCAATTTTCAAATCAATTAATTTTCAAATTAAATATTTTCTATTTTCTCTGTTTTTTCTTAGTTGCATTCAACCCTGTCACTAGAAATTTACTTGCAAATATGCACACTAGAATTGACTGTAGGCAAAATTATATAATTTAATTATATTATATTTATATTATGTAAAGATGACTGCAAGTACAAACTATTCACAGGCAGGCCATTTTGTCTTGAAGTTATGGGTCTAGTTGCATTTAAAATTTTTAATTTTTAATGCATCACATAATTATTTATCAACTATAAATGTTTATTTTTTAATGTTTATAAGTAGAATAAGAATATTCTTTTTTCCTTACTTGATTAAAGATTCAAAATATTAGTTTACATTTTATGTTCATACTTTTATTTCAACATGGATGAAGTTAAATTCTACATTAACCTTCCAACATTACCATAAAATGAATGCCCTTATAATTGGTGGGGTGCTTACAATTACACCATCTCTGAGAAAGACACCAACAACTGGGATTTGTTAATGTTCTCAATGAAAATTTTGTGTGTATCTCCTTCATCCGTTAAAAGTGAACATTTATTCAGCACAGCAAGAAACATATTTTAAGCCAAAAGAAACATGCTCGAGCATGGATTGCGCTTTTAAATTATAATTTGCCTGATTTTTAGCAATAGATAATTAGTTTAAACGCATCAAACTAATTAATATAATAATAATAACTTTCCTCATCTGTAATTAGTAATTAGTAACTACTAAATAGTAATTTTATTACAATGCATAGTATGAACTAATGTATACTTAACATTGTTAAAAGTTTAGACTTGATTATGTTGACAATAAGCCAAACTTGTTTTATAATTCACACCCTGATTCAATCACTAATTTGTAATTAGTATCAACTCATTAGCTTGTCATTTTTTTCCGAAAAAACATTAAACTTGTTCAAATAAGGCGATGTAAGTGCAAAAACTTTGGCTTCGGCGAAGTGACTTAAGCTGAAGCTTTGGCTTCTGCAAAATCTTAGCTTCGCTACATCCCTAATTTTTATCATTCCCTCCCGTGAATAAATAGGCTAATACAAGAGAGGATCCATAGTAAGATGGAGAGCCATAAGAGCGCCTACCCCCCTCTTTCAGATTTTTTTTTTATTTTTTTAGAAACCGATATATTTAACACAGCAAGATGTTTAAAAACGTAAGTAAATTAGGCTGGTTAAAAATACGATGAAGTTATATAAAATTTTGTGGTGCAAATTTTAATAAAAAGTTAATATAATACAGGTTGCAACCAAATCAACAAATGTGCGGATGTTTGTTAAAAAGCGATAGAAAAACGAACGTCACATTTCTTTGATCTTGCTTATGCAACATTGGCATTTGATTAAGATTTTTCAAAATCAAGCATTACTTAAGCAACTTTTTTTCTAAATAATTTTGTGTTTGATAAGATTGTGATTGTTTTTTTACTTATTATAAAAAACATTTTAAAATAAAAAACAATTAATTTCAAATGTCAAAACTATTACTTTCTTCAATAACATTACTTTTAAGTAAAATAACTAAGTACACTATTAAAAAAAGTAATTTTGTTTAAGCATGGCTTTTGAAAGCGCTCACAAAAGCATGCAAAATTTACTTAAAATCTATGCTTTTGTAATTACTTCAAAAAAAACCATGCTTAAACAATATGATTGCTTTCTTTTATTGAAGAAAGTAATCATAATGTTTAAGCATGGTTTCTTTAAAGAAATTAGCAATTACATTAAAAGTTTAAATCAAATGCATATATTTAAAAAAAAAATTTGTATGCTTGGTTGTTTTTTTTAATTTTCTTACTTTTATTAAAGTGAAGTAATGTTTGCTATATTAAAAATACTTTTAAAAGTTTAAAAAAAAGTTTCAGTTTTGCTGAAATTGCTTTTGATAAAAATAAAACTCCCTTATTTGGCATAAATCTCTTAAATTAGGTAATTACTGACAAGTCTGGTATTGTTAGCCGTAGTATCAAAAATCATGTTTACTACTGATTCAGCACAGTTCCATGACGACAACAACTGCATTGTAGCATTAGTGATGATATCTTCAGATTGTTGATATGTTCCTGGTTGATTAGCAGGTACACCAAGAGTTTGACATTGCCGTTGTTGCCGACAGTAACCACAAGTCTTTCTTGTAAGTCGTGTGTTGCCTGGCTCTTTATCAGTTTAGAATCCCAGTGCAAGAAAGCATACTTTAGTGGAACCCATGACTTCCAAACTTCAGAAGCAATTTCTTCATTCACTATACATCTGGATCTGTCTGCTGTGGCATATGATAAAGCAATTTTGCTTGCATCACCTCCTTTTTCTTCAATAATGACCTCAGTGAGTGCAGACTGTGCAGGAAAAATTTTCATTCTTGTTGCCAAAGCCACAATTCTTGGAGATTTAAGAATTTTATATGAGCTGCCATTCCAGTGCAAATGGTTCAATGGTGTGTTTTTACAAGTTTCTTTTCAGAAGAAGTCTTGAAAGAACTATCGATTTCACATTTAATTTCATCGCTACTTTTCTTGTTGCTGTTACAAGAGAGCTCTACTGTACAAATAGCAGATACTGTAGCAGTAGCAGTAGCTGCTACAGCATCTGCTACTATTATTAATAGTCCAAGCAATTGCCTCATTTATATTAATAAACCCTAAGCCATAAAAAGGGCTCTAAATGTGGCCTCAACAATTTAAACCAAAAGTACAAACAGAAACACCATCCTTTACAGCTGTTAATGGAATCAGTCTCTCTGAGAGCTACCACAGAGTTTGCGAAAACTTAACTACCAGGTGGCGTCAGAACCATAAAATTAAGTTTTAGAGCTGTAACCTCATTAGAAGATAATATAATAATTTGCTTAGTCATAAAAAGACACAACCAAAACCTATACATTGAGTCAAGAAGATCCAGCATTCAACATCCTAAACTGGAAACAATGTATTATAAATACATTTATGCAAGAAAAAAAAAAAAAGTTCAGAGAAAAAAAAAGATTTATACAGTGACCTAATGCACAATGATATTTTACATTAGCTAACATAGTTCGTTCGTAACTAATCAATACATCTGATGGGACATCTGATCTCAAATGATATTCAGGGTGACAAAGCTCTTTTAAAACAAATATGTTTTCTCTATGCTAAAGTTAACATTATTCCAGGAAATTCTGATTAACACAAGTTCAAATGAAGATCATGTTGTTTAATTCCTTTTGCAGCCCTATATATAATAATCAGTTTTGATTTCTTCTGCAAATATACTATTATTTACATGTTGCATATAAAATTGCACTTGATCTGATTCTAAACAAACCACCATGAAACAGTAGTAGCAAACTATTTGCAAAGCCTGGTGGCTATCCATGTAATGCTGTTATATGTAAGCAACAATAGTTCTCCTTATTGTTGCAGAATAATGAGAACCTTGTTATAAAATATTTTGTATACTCAAACAAGTTTGTACAATCTCATTTGATTTATAAATAGAAAGCCAAGTTTTATTTATGACACTTTTTTTGTTTATATTTAGTGCATTATTATTTTACTTTTTTTTTTTTACCTACTGTATCCTGGGTCTTGAGCCTGTCAATAAACTTGATTTGATTTAATTTAAAGAAAAAACAAACAAAAAAAAGTGATACAGGTAATATGAACATACTTAGTGATGTAATATAACACTAAAAGAGGCAAGTTAATACAGTACACAGAGGTTCTAATAAATGTGCATTTTAAATTTGGTTTAAAAAAAGTCTAGAATAATAAATAAACAATATGATCAGGTAAAGAAATCTATTTGTTAATTTATTTTTAACTAAATGGAACTTTAATTTAATGGAACTGATTTAAATTTGTAAATTTCAGAAAAATAACATTACCTAGTTGGAAAAAAAAAATTTTTGCTATTTGATTTCATAATGATATTGCATTATTAATATTTTTTATAATATTTTTTCATACAAAAATATAAAAATAATATATATGAAGCATTTATGCAAAAGTGCAGATATTTTTAATTTATAAAATAAAATAGAACATATTTTATACTGTTTATGTTGTTAACTCATGATCTCCAATATTCTATTATGTTAAACAAAAAAATAGTGTTAAAATAAAGCAGAATTTCTAAATTCTTATATTTCTTATCATGTATGCCATGCAAAGAATAATATATGATTGCAAAAAAAATCGTCACACAAAAAAACTTAAAAATGTCACCGGCATGAATGTAAAAATTTAATGAAGGATTTAAAAAAATTCTCTGAATAATAATAAAAGATGAAAATTGTGCATGTGAAAATTAAAACAAAGCTGAGCAATGGAATGTAGTAATTTAATAATAATAAAGTTTTTATGTTCCTAAATATCTTATCTAAATTCCTAAATTCCATAAACTCCATGTATTGCATGTAATTTATTTAGTAATTTAATAATAATAAAGTTTTTATGCTTATTTAACAGTTTCTCAAATTATTATATCATTTATCTCAAAACATTTTTTTATGATTAATGTGTTTTATCAAGATTTAAAACAAATTTTAGTTTATAAATAAAAACAAAAAAATTAGCAATAAAACATACCTTAATGTAACAGTTGGAAAACTACCTGAAATCAAAACTTCTTGAACATAACAACTTGTCTTGTAGTAGTCATTTGAATATACATCTTTTCCTGCATATTTTACTCCACAAACTTCAATATGATAACTAATTTCTTCTAAAAACTGGTGTGTACTAAAAACTATTTCTGAAAAAGTTGAAGGAATATCTACCCAGGATTCATTAAAACAAGTATCACTTGAGAATGTGAGATTTAAAAGTGTAAAGTTCTCCATAGCTACTTTAGCGTCAGAAAAATTCATAGCAATTTTGCATCTCCATCTAAAAGTTATATTTTGAGTCCCAACTGTTGGATCATCTGGATCATAACTAGACATTGCACTTACTTTGAAGTTTTGATAAAAACTTTCATTTCCAACCTTCTTTTTATATGCAACAGATACAAACAAACCATTATCAATTTCCACATAAAGAGGTGAATATGTAACATTCAAGTATGAGGTATAAACAGCTGAAGCATTACCATAAACACATTGCAAGGACAATATGTAAACACCATAATCTAGTGAGTTTTTGGCAATTGAATAGGCAACATTTTGCTGAGAAAGCATGCCTTTTTGTTGATTTACTTTGGATTTAGAAACAGAACTAGCAAGTTTCCATTCAAAAGTAAATGTTTCTTTTTTACAAAATGAACTAACACTATCAACAAAAGCTGTTAAATTTCTGCCAACATTTCTAATGATGATCATCGGGTTGTAAATAGTTCCATAGTAAAAATATACTTCAGGCATAGAACAATTTGTTACCTGAACCTGAATAATTGTAGGAGTAAGGGTCTGTAAAGAATTCCTGCATGTAACAATTATAGTGTAATTGTTGATACTTTGATACATATGTTGCACTTGAAATGAAACTGGTTTCAAGTTTAAAATCTGCATTTTAAAAGAAAATTTACCATCTCCCCAATCAATTAAATATATCATATTTGAGCCGGTCTCTTGATAGATGCTTAATGTTATATTCTTGTTTAAAGATAATTGAACATACCCACCAAGAGAATCAGGGGGTGTTTTGATGACTTTTAAAGGGGAGAGTAAACAAAAAACTGTTACATTTGTAGAACTAGTGAATAAGGCAGAGGTGGTATTTCCAGCATTTTCGAAAATATCGGCTGTGATTGTAAACTGTTGGCACATAGAATAACTAAAGAAAATCAAAATCTAGAAAACAAATAATTAGCTAAGTTTGTCTATGTTAGCAGATGTCAAGCCTTCCCAGAAAAAGCATGCTGTTTTTGTCTTTTATTTGTCTATTATTTTTCACTAATAACATAGGAGACCAAAAGGAAGAGGCGGGTAAAAATAAAATAATTTGAGAAGTGGTGGAAATTTGAAAATAATTTGAGAATTAGTGGATTTCAAACTTCGTCACTCCAGGTACAAAGTAAATGCCTTATCCAAATAAGCTAAACATGTGCATGTTTAAGAACAAATAAATGTAATTATATAATAAAAAAAGTTATACATAAAAGTATATGCTTGCATTACATAGACATATTCATATAAATACATTATATACTTGTTACATTAAAATAATAAGTATATTTTACAAACAGATAGCAATTTATATTTTCGCTTCTTTTTTGTCTAAAAAAAAGCACATGCGTGGGCATACAAAAAAAAAAAATCTCACACATTTCCTGGGAAGGCTTGAAGTTACCAAGTTACAACTTAAACCAAAACAATGAATTATCAGAGTAAAAGTTAGTAACAAGAAGTAGCAAGTAAGAAGTAGCAAGTAAGAAGTAGCAAGTAAGAAGTAGCAAGAATTAACAAGGTAAAAATAATATTTTCAGAATTTGTTTAATTATTATTTGGATTTTGCAACTAAAAGGCTGTTCATAAATTACTTCATTAAATTTAAATATATCGCAGTCAAATATATCCTTATATCATAGTCGAAAGAGCTTTTTAATGTAAAAAAAAGTTTCTTTTGACTACAATTTTGCTATCTCGACAATAAAGTTACATTTTATTGTTGGCAAAATGTCAAAGCAATTAAATTAATGTGCAAGTACATTAAATTTGCATTCATATTGCATATTGTAAAGCTTTTTGATCAACTCTCCTTTTTTTTCTCTTTTCAAAAAATCTTAAACACATCCCTCCTTCTCTATATCACTATTCAGGAAAGTCCTAACCCTTTCCTTGCCTATACATCCTTTAAAATTAAAAAGTATGAGGTGGGCAATAAATTCCTGACCATAAACTGGTAAAAGTCTTCATCAGATTAGCAAAAACAATTTGACCTAAATGGGTTACTATAAAACATAAAATTTTGAGAAAAGTAACTAAACCCTTTGCCCGATTCTTAAAAAAGCTTAAAAAATTTATTTACCCTACTACTTGAAACCGATGTTAAGCCTACGGCTTGAAACCGCTGTTAACCCTACGGCTTGAAAAATCCCAGTAAAAGTTAATATTTTTTAAGTGTAACTTAAAAAACATAAACTTTTTAAGTATAACTTAAGCAATATGAACTAAATAACCTAATTCCTGGTGTTAAATTTTTTTTTTAATGCAACTAAAATACAGTTCCCATATGGAGACATTAGGATGTTAACAAATAATTTTTTTCAGATTTTCAGAATTTTTGGGAAATAATGACCAAGCCACTTTTAAGTGCTCGTTACTAAATAAAAACCGTACTTTACAAAATTATTAATAAAACAAATTTTTCCAAAAAGAATATATACATGTAGCATTAAATCCAATTCAAATAATATTTTATAAATCGATTTCAAATACAAAAAAAAAAAAAACATTTTAAAATTTTTTGGATCACTAGGTCAATGCTTTTCTTTTATAAACAATCTATTTACTGTACCCAGTATACTAATAAACAAACACAAAACTAAAAATAATTACATTTTTAAACAATAGTTACTGTATGTACTGATAAACAAACGGTAAAAAAAAAATCTAGTGTGATAATTTCTGAAACAGTTTCTCTATTGTGTATAATGAAAAAACGAACTTATTATAATTAAAAAAAATATTACTGTTAAAATCTTGAATTGGCTTGACAAGTGGTACTCATTTTATAAAGAAGCATAGGTAATTTGGTTAAGCTTTTACCAAAGTTCCTGTAATGAAGGTTGAGATTTTTCACACATCGATTTTGTATTCTTATGACATATGACACATCTTTCTGAAGTACACTTAGTTAGCTTATGGCCCTAGCCATCAAATCAAAATTGATTTCATTAGAACGATTGTAATTTCTTGTCTGAAATCTGAGTAGTTTTGTCATGATTAGGATGTAGAACCAAAGAAAAATCTCCAAGCTGCAACCAGAGATAAGTTTAACATACTAGTTATCAATTTTTGGTTTGGATCATAGGCTGTAGGATCCTAAAAGACGATTGATCAAGTCAAGAAGTTGCTTACAACGGTCACAATACTATTGTTGTGCCATTTGCAGAGAATGACTTCACTATTGCAACAAAAGTCATAAGACACTATCTGTTTTTTTTTATTTCCTGTAGCAATGAAACCCTCCTCTGAAAGTAATTTCATCAACTTTCCATTTGTGAAATAATTATCAATATATATTTAGTGAAATTTTGTACTAGATTTTTGCTTTACTACTTCTTGCATATCTTGAAAAACTTGTTGACATTAAGGTATCTCAGATCTTCTCTTAGAATCTTTTCCAGTATAAATTTGTAGTTTTTATGGATATCCATAATTTCCTTATAAAGCTTAAAGCTTGTATCAAAAATGTATTGGCTTTCCTTTTATGTACATTTTAGCACTATGCTTGCCAAAATAGGGCACCATTAACTCAGCTATGCTTCATTTTTTATGAAATATTCCTTGTTTACTTAGCTGCTTCATTAAAGTTTCATATAAAAAAATTAGACTTTAGTAACTTTATTAACATCCTAATGTTCCCATACAAGAACATTTTTTAAAAACTAAACTATTTTCCTGTTTATAGCATGTATATCAATATGAGTAAATGATATGTTGTATTTACAACTGGAAAAAATTATTTTTTGCTCAAAAAAAATAATCAAATTTTTGGAGTTGAGCTGAAGACTCAACTTAAGTGTTACCAAAACTCCAAGATTTTGTGTTTTTATAAATCTAAAAACTATACTATTTTAAATACAAATGTTGCCAAATTTGATATAATTAAGCTGATATAATTAAGTATGTAATTATAAAAACACAAAATATAAATTAATTTGAGTACTATCTTTTTTTGCAGTGTTCCCATATGGGAATATTAAAGGGTATACTATTGCAATATATTACTCTTGCAACAACCCATAGATGTATTTTATAAAAATGGTAGATGAAAAGACAAACTTTTTTGAAAACAAACTTTTACTGCAAACAGCCAGCGTCAACCTGAGACCTTTGGGTTCTGAGCCAAAGCTCTATGGATGCTCAACTTTGGAACCCTATATCTAGAGAACCAAGTATTTAAATAAATTTTGGAATTTCAGTATGAATAGCATCAACATACTAAAAAAATAGCAATTTTGAAGATGGTCACTATTAAACTTTGTCTGATTCTTACAGAAAGTTGTTCTTAAATAAGTAAATACCAAACCAAAAAAAAAAGAAAACAATCAAAATAACAAAAAAATTTAAAATAAATTTAAAATTTGTGCAATAAGGGTGAACAAGTGTAAAGACATCATGAAATACAGTATGGGTAAACAGTTTTTGCATTACTCATAGTTATGTGTACACAATCGTATTAGTATTTTTTTGCAATAATATTAGCTATTAAAAGGCTTGTTTTTAAAAGAAATCTGGTACTAAAATAAATGCTCAGTTCAATATTAAATAGTGTAAAAGTTTTATTAATAGCAATGAGCTTAATAGAGTCTATAAATAATTATTCTAATAAAGTTTAAGAAAATAATAATAAAGTAAAGTTAATAGCTTGATTTTTACAATAAAAGAAATCTGGTCTCTAAAATCATTGTTTAAAGTGAATAACTTAAGCTTTATTATTTTTCATTGGATTCACCTTAAAAGAATTTCTAATTCTTTTAAGGTGAATCCAATACCCAATTTAAGGTTAATCCAATGCCTAATATTTTCAAGGTGAAATCCAATTCTTGAAGGTAGTTCCACGTTGATCAATTATAAATGATTTAAGTTATGTAAAAAGATACAGCAAATTGATATAAAATAATTACCTATGAATGGTAGTGTAAATATAACCTTCTGCAGTAGAAGCGTTGATGTTTTTTATATTTATAACTGTTGTCCCATCACCAAAACTAAGTATCAATTGTACAGTGTTGCAATAGAATATGCTTATAGTTGTGTAATATGGGTCATACTGTTTTTGATTCTTCATAGCTTTAATTTCAACACCTTTTAAAAAAAAGACTTGAGTAAATTAACACTTTTTTATTATTTTTCAAAATTAAAAATTATTATACAACAATTGACAAAAGTTGGATAATTTGTAATTTGTTGGAACAGTTATAAAACTTTACAAACTAATAGCTATGATAAATCATTGATATAAAACTTTGCACAAATACAAAATATAACATGCAAAACTAATTATACACAAAAGAGTTTCCCAACTGGTTTATTAGGTTTATTACAACCAAATACAGAGCTTTTGAATATAACAAGGTATAATTGCTCGGTGTAAAACTTAGTTTTTCTGATAATATTTTCTTTTTTTCTTTTTTTAAAATACCTGGTAATATTTGACTTTTCCTTTTTTTCTTATAATAGTCTTCAAATAGCGTAAGAAAGCGTATGGAGGTGGGGGTAGGGGTAGGGGTAGGGTTTTAATTTAAAAGTATGTACTTCATTTTTCTTATTTATCACAAATAACCAACTAACCAATAAAAAAGTTAAAATTCTGACTAAAAATCCTAGTTTGCCAACATAAAAAGATGTATGATATTGGGGAGTCAAGGGTATAGTAAAATATGCCCTGAGTAAGACGTATTTCAGACAACCTCTTTATTGAGTCTGCAAAAAACAGAACAATTTTGTAAAAGAACAAAAAGAATAAGATTAATAATGTTATTAATATTTTATTTAGCCATAAATTACTTCATGCATCAAAATTGAAACTAAGAAGTGAGTTTAAGTAAATAACTGGCACAAAAAAATTCTAAATTTCAAAATAAAAACCCCATTAAACCTGCTTAGATATATTCACCTCATGAAACTTTATCAACAACTATTAATGGTGATATATTAAAATCAACATACTAACTTCTAAGAAATGGTGCTAAAAAAAACGGCTGCCACATATCCTTTATATAATGGTATAAGATCTTCAAAAGCTAAATGCTATCCCAAGAACATTCAAATAGATGGCTAGTCAGTACAAATACCGCTAAAAGATCTTCTAAAATACACTCTTAAAAAGCTATATGATACACAAACTACTGTGCTAATCACAATGCTAACGAATTAACTAAACTGGCATTTAGATGCAAGGCTGGTTTTGATGGTTCTACAGGATATAGTGTTTACAAACAGGTAAGTCAAAATGAAAATAGTGACGAATGAAGAGTGCCTGTTGATTATTTGTAAAGTACCTTTAGAACTTAGTAGACTTTATAATAAAAAAAATGTTGTAATATTATTCACCCAGAATCTGCCGTTAATAGATTTAAAATAAAAATAATACATTATTATATATAGAGATGATAAATAATCTACAGACATTCAAAATGTGGTGATTATGTAATAATATCAATAGAGTTTGAAATCTATATATTTATATTTTCTATATATTTATATATATATTTCAAATCTAATAATGATAATAGAATTTCAAATCTAGTAATAAATTTTCATTTTTTCAGAAGTAAGTGCGCATTTTTATTTTTTATAGTTTGTTGCATCATTTTTTATTTTAAGTTTATTCCACCAAAAGAGTTTGTTATTCAGTTCCACAATTTTAAGAAGTTATATGATTTGAAATTAAAAAAATATCAATATGCATTTTTAAAATTTTATAAAGTTTGTTAAATAATTTTTATTATTAGCAAGTATTAAACTAAAATTTATAATAAAAGTAAATATATCTTAATAAAAAGTGATTCTTTAAACATATAAAGGGTTTTAGTAAAAAAAAAAAGAACAAAATAATTTTGTTCACCATATGTCTAATATCTGGTCCACTGTGCTATGTCTTAGTTTTAATCAAATGCTAATTGATAGTAATATAATGTAAAAAAGTTTTAAGGGCCAATTGAAATTCCTTTAACAGAAACCTTTTTTTATATGAAGTTATTTTCGATAAATTTCTTGTAGAGAAAGTCTTATAATTTAATCAAATGCTATTTGATAGTAATATAAATTTATAATGAGGGTTTATATAGTTATTTTTACATTTCCTTTTGAAAGTCAATGTGTTTAAAAAGGTTTTAAGGGCTAATAACAAAATTATTTTACAGAACAGATCTTTTAACAGAAATATTTTTTTTGTTTTTCTATTACTAACTAATAGTCATTTTGCCAGGTTTTTTTACTTTCTTTTTTGCATTTTGGCAGTAGTTTATACTTTAGGAAATGTTGAGATATTTACATTATGAATTAGCCAATTCAAATCATGCTTCAATTATTAAAACAATATTTTTGTCTATAGAATGGAAATGGTACATCTAGCAATAAAAAAGTTATAATAAAAATTGTTGCTATTACATAGTAGAACAACTGATGTAAACTTTATTTTGAAGTGATTGAATATTATTAATCTGTTATTTATATAAAGATAATGTAGCTATTATAAAATATTATTTTTCTAAACTATTATTTTTCGCAAAACAAAACATGTAAGTATAAACGAAGACATTGCAAGAGCTATTTTGCTTTAAGGGTAAACTCAAGCACAAAAATTAATATTAGATTTTTATCCATAAAAGAAGTTTAATTTTTTTTTTAATTATTAAAAAAATAAAATCTTAATCAAATGTTGTTTAAAGTTTGCAATAATGTTTTTTTCATTTTTTAGATATAAAATCATAACAAAGCAAACAAACTAAATTTTAAATATCAAAAGTGACACTCATAAAAAATAAAATTTATCATTATTATTTTTTTCTAAATTTAACATTACTATTTTTTTCTAATAATTTATTTTTTTAATAATTTTTTTAAATTGGATGACCAAGACCTTGATGGGAGTAAATGAGTGCAAGAGCGGAGAAAAGCGGAGACAAACGTAATCAGTAACATTTTGAGATATAATAGCAAAATACTAACAAAGTATAATCTAAAACTGGCAACAAAGCATAATCTAAAAATTTTTAACCAGTTAACCAATAAAACTATAGTCAAAGTTTTACTTAATTTCAACATTCAAACTAAATTATTTTCCGTGGACAAAATTAAAAGATTTCAAAATTTGCATCACAGGGTACCTTGATGTGTGCGTTATCCTCCCCATATAAGTAGCGTTCTTGGGTCAGTTAAGTTGGTTTTATCAGGATCTGTGCTAACCATGAAACTATTATATGTATGATGAGATGCTAGAAAGTTTAAAAAAAAAAATAAACAACAGGTTTATTTAATTTTATTCTTCCTATAATTAAAATCTTGCATCACATTAAAGATTTTTAAACATGAAAGATTTTTAAATTTTTTTTTGTGTTAAACAAAAATGTGTAATTGCATGGTAAAGTTAAAGTTTTGTTGTTGTTATTGTTGTTGTTGTTTAAACTGACTTTTAGTTATAACTTTATTTTTTGTTTTATGTTATTTTTAAGGTCATTAGTTTTAATCTCTATTATATTATTGTTAAACTTAATCTTTTAAGTGGTCTTGTTGAAAGTGAACCCTTGGCAGCAATTGCAACCAAGGTAGTGGCAAGGAAAGTTTTGAAATACATTTTGTTGCAAGCAAACCTGACCAAAAGTGTATGAAAATATACTGAAACATTTATCAAGTTTTAAGGTTTGACTTTCACTAGGAAAATGCATTGTGTCAAGCTCTTCTTAATTTTGATCTAGAGCATTTATTTCTGTTAAAAAAATTATTATATAGTTTTAATAGTTATTGCTTACCAACATTCCAGCATGGCCGAGTGGATACTGCAATGAGCTTCTGAACAAATAAGCCGCGGTTCGAGTCCTACAACTGGAGTTTTTTTTTTGTTTTTTTTCGGTTATTTTAAAATACAAAATACTTCTGAAGTTTTATAAAGATTTTTTTTACAAACATATGAAACAATATTATAAATTTTAACAAACAAAAAGATTTTTAAAAAAGCTAAAATTTCTAAAACACTGGAAGAAAAAACTGTTGCGTATGTGTCATGATTGAGATACTTATATCGTATATTAGCGTATATGTCATTATTGAGATATGTTATTCATGTGCTCTGGAAATTAGTGCTAATAAGCTGTGGATGGTCTGAAAAAAATTTGTGTGAAACTTAATAAAGAAAAAACTTAATAAGACAATCCTGCTACTCCAGAAGGTACTGCTGTGGAGGAAAAAAAAAATAGCCTGTAGCTATAAATATATGCTTCAGCTGTTTTTCAAAATGCCTTAATATGCTCATTACGTATTTCGAGAGAAACGCAATAAAAAAAAATTATTACGATAAACTCATTGTAAAACATTTTTTGAAACAAAAATTTATTTTCAGAACTCTTTGAAAATGTGTATTCAATAACATTGGTAGACATATAAACTAGTTTATTTTGTAAAAAGTCAAAATTGATTTTTTTTTACCTTGAAGCGTTTTGAAAAATGGCTGCAGTTTGGATTATACAACAATTATGTTAAAATGAGATAACTAGACACAAAATTTAAAAGCTCTTAACAAAAGCCACTAAAACAAAAAAACTAAAAGTAATTGCAGTTCAGTGTGCTTGAAAATTTTAAGTATATTGGTGTTTGCAATGAAACATAATATAAACTGTTTTTTAACATAAAACATATAACAATATATTATTGTTTTTTAATATTAAACTATAAACAAATATGTTATTTGTTTATTTATATTGTTTATAAAATATAAAAAATCAACTTATATAACTTTTTATTCAGGATCATATGTAATATAAGTAAACTTTTCTAATAATTACAAGTCTTTTTTGCTCAAACTGTTTTGTTTTGATTTTTTGTATGTATGTTATTATATTTAAAAAAATGATAATATTGAAAAAACACAAAACATATTGTCTCATTAAAAATAAGTTTGAAACATCAATTCAGATTTGCCCCTTTCTTGATATTTTCTGATTGCTAAAATCACGTTATCTGCTTGTTAGACCATTAAAAATGATAGATGAGGCTTTTTTCGTAAATCACTGAAGTCACAATTTTTTTGTTATGTGACGTCACTTTGTGGCAAAAAAACTAGAAATAAGATTTTATTTAAATTTTTTAAAAATACTCCTTCTTTTAAAGATATATGGAACATATTTTTATGGGATATATTCAAATAAAGACAAAAACTATTTATTTATTACTATTGTAATAAATACAATCTCTTATCCGTGAAATGATATATTTGTACCAGTTTTATATATTTTTATGCAATTGTATGCAACAATTAAAATTAATCAAAAAAAGTAAGATAAATGCAAAAGGAAACTTAACGCATAAAGGTTTATTTTGCCACAAACCGACTTAAATCTACAAAATTTTTTTAGCTTAACTTTTAGATTAGCGTTTAATATTATTCTTTAGTTTTCAATCATAATCAAAAGAATGAACTTCTATAAAATATGAAAACTTTAAAATTTTATTTTAAATTTTAGAAATCTTTTTTGCTATGTTATAATTTTTTTGCTGTAAATAAGTAAGCAAGATTTAAAAAATTTCAAAATTTATAACCCTGAGGGAGGTCACTTGACCACTATTTGAGCTATCAATGCATTTCATTGAGCTATCAATTAAATGCATTTAGCAGAAAAACAAACCTAATAATAAGTCTCTTATAAGCTCTACGTATGCGAAAAAGGTTAAGCTTTTTGCTCTTGAATGTTTTTTTCAGAATAAATTTTTTTACTAAAAAATATTGAAGAAGATAAGGACAAATTCAAATATATAAATAATTGGTGTGGAATAGATATTTATATAAACGGTAGGTTTGGTAAAGACCAGTACTTTACGGATCCGGAAAGGATCCGTAAAGGATATATAAAGTAAAAGTGAAGAAAAGTTCAGTTTGGAATAGACTTATAAAGACCTGTATTTTTACAGGTCCGATCTCAGCTAGTATAATTTAATGATTATGAAATCAATTAAAAAGATATAAATTTAAAAAAACTTTGTTTGTTGCACAAATAAAATCTATTTTTAAGTATAGTTAAAATAAATTTTTTGATTTCTTTTTGATTAATTTTAATTTATAACATTGCTTCAACATTTTATAAGTTTTTATGAATAAATAAAGTCTACAATAAAATAACTAAGTATATTTATATACTTAGTTATTCTATTGTACTATTGTACAAAAGTCGATATTTTTTTTTATAAAACAATATATACAAAAAATTATATTTTGTTTTATAAAAGAAAATATCGATTTTTGATTTGTAGCTTAATTATCAAAAAACAATTTTATTTTAAGGATTTTCTTTGAACTTTTTATCAACAAACTTTCTTAACAGAAAGATAAAATCTATATAAACTATTTGAGTACCCCAATTTAAACTTTATACCCAAAAATTTAATTTTGTACCCATAGAAAAACTTTTGAAAACTAAAATAAAAAATTTTGTACCATAGAAATATTTTTTTTTTGTTAATATCATTGACTTTTTTACAAAAATTTAAAACAATAATCAAAAATAAACAAAACCTTTTTTAAAAAAAAAAGAAAACTATATGGATTTAAAAAAAAATATATACCTATAAATGAAATACAAGTTTGTATATCAGTATTGTTTCCAAAACAAACAAATAACAGATTATTAATGCAATTTCGAGATCTCGTTGTAACACCTGATGCATTGCAACAAGACCATTCACTCCATTGAGACCAAAATGCTGTATAACATAATGATCATAAGAAATAAAATGATGTTCAAACTTTGGAAAAAAAAGTACATACATATATATATACATATATATATACATATATATATATATATATATATATATATATATATATATATATATATATATATATATATATATATATATATATATATATATATAGAATATATATATCATCCCTCAGAATTAGGGTCGGCATTTGGCAATGCTGACCTAACTGCCAACCTAGAAGTGTTTGTGGTCAGCAAAAAATTGCTGATCTCATTTCTATGTTTTATGATTAAACTTTTGTTTTACATTTTTTTTTGCAGATTTTTTCTAATTTCAAGGGCGGAATTTAGTAGAGATGTGAATATCTGCTAATGTGCGGATATTTACATCTCTGTAAATATCCGGACATTAGCGGATATTTACAGAGATGACATTGATATAACTATATGCAAATGATGAACTTGAACAATTTTTGTTGTTTGTGGAAGAAAACAAGGAAACCATGGAAACTATAACACAGATTCAAAAATCCGCAAAATTAATACATTTCTAAATTTTGAAGTGTTATTAAAAATGTTTAGAATTATTATTTTATCTAATATATCAGAAAAAAGTTCATTTATGGTTTTAAACGTGTAAAAAAATTTAAGAAGCAATATAGCCAGCCCTCGGAATTAGGAAAAATGATGTCCGCAATAATTTGCTAACCTTAATCTGCTAGAGTTTGACATCAGGTCTGCAATAAAAACTGGTACAAAGGTTTTACAATAAAACATAGAAACCAGGTCAGGGATATTTTGCTGACCTAAAACACTTCAGTTAGGTTGGCATTGCTGAATGCCCACCCTTATTCTGGAAGAGGATAAATTAAATGACATGGTGATATTGTATATAGAAATAGATATTCTTAATCACATTAATATGAATAAATTTATAGATGATTTTTCAAAAAATAAATCAAGAAAAAAGTTTATATAAAAAATTTTTATTTTATTTCTTTCTCAGTTTCTTTAGTTGATACTATGATTTACACTATGATTTAGTTTTACACCATGATTTGGGCAAGAGCTGTTTGGATAGAGAATTATGAAGAAATAGAAGATTTTGTGCCTAGAAAGTGGATAGATACAGAACATACAAGTATATGTATCAAGTATATGTATCTCATCGAAGAGTATTAACTAAAGAATACGTTTCCACAGCAAACCAAACAGAGTTTAAATAAATTGGTTTACTAAGTATTTGTATTAATGTTAATAAAGATTTAAATAATGTTCATTGATGAAATGATTTTTAATAAACATTTTTTATAAAAAAATATTTGATAAATATATAATTCTTTGTGAAAAAGTACTAAGAGTTGAATAACTACGTTTTACATAATTGATCTTATGATCAATTATGCTCAATTATGATCAAATATGCTCTTACTACAAGGATACCAAATACACAAAAAAAAAACAGAGGAGGTAGTGGAGGAGGTGTTGTAATATACATTAATAATGATATACTAGTAGCTGAAACAGATATAGCGCAATTGAACTCATCGGACATAGAGCAAGTATGGCGAGTTATAAAGTTAGGTAAAGAGTCGATTCTCCTGGGTTGCATTTATTGTCTGCAGGACAACAAAATTCACCAGACTTGCTTGCACTCAGTGAAACAAATTTAAATTCTGCAATTCCTTTTTCAGATGTTAGTGTTGATGGGTACTATCCTTTGATTCGTAAAGACTCAAATAGTCACATGCTAAGTTTAGGGGTATACATACGCATTAATTCCCCTACTTGGCGTGAAATCAGGTTCGAATCCTTTGACCATTCTTTTATGTGCTTTCGCCTAGCACCTCTTCACTCTATCACCTTTCTCTTTGTTCTTTATCATTCTCCTTCTTCCCATGATTGCACTCTCTTAGATGTTATCTCTGATCAAATTGACCATGCCCTCTCTCTTTACCCCTCTGCCAATATTGTTGTTGTTGGTGATTTTAATGCCCATCACACTGAATGGCTTGGCTCTAACACCACTGATCCTGCTGACATTAAAGCCTTTAACTTCTGCGTTTCTCAATCTCTTACTCAGATAGTTAACTTTGTGACTCGTTTTCCTGACTACCCTAATCATTTACCTTCACTCCTTGACTTATGTCTTGTCTCTGACCCTAGCTTATGTTCAGTTTCTCTCTTTTCTCCCTTAGGTGGTTCTGACCATGCAATGATCTTTATAATTCTTTCTTCTCATACTTCTTTTTTAGGCTCACCTTATCATCGCACCACCTACTACTACCCTAAAGCTGACTGGGATTCCTTTCATGATTTTCTTCGTGATGGTCTTTGGGCTGATGTTTTTTCTCTCTCAGCTGACAAATGCGCCTCCTACGTAACCTCCTGGATTCAGGCTGGAATGGAAGCTTTTATTCCTTCGCGTCGGTTTCAAGTCAAGCCTCATTCTACTCTATGGTTTTCTCCTTCTTGTGCGGCTGCTATATCCAATCGTAATCATTTTTTTCATCTTTTTCAAAAGAACAACTCTCTTGAGAACAAACGGCTATTTATTATTGCAAGAAATCGATGTAAAAAGGTGCTTTCTGATGCTAAACTCCATTATTCTCAGTTCACTAATTCTCCCATCTTATCGCAGAAGTTAGGCTCTAAAGACTTTTGGAGAATCTTCAACAGCATTATTAACAAGGGTAGATCTAACATTCCATCTCTCATTCATGGGACTGATCTTATTACCTCTCCCAAGGATAAGGCAGAACTATTTGCAAAGAACTTTTCTTCTAATTCCACTCTTGAATCTTATGGACATTCTCTTCCTTCCATTCCAGTCAAACAGGTTGACCCATTGTTAGACATTCAAATCACTCCGGCTTCTGTTGCTAAAGTCATATCTCAATTAAACTCGTCTACAGCTTGTGGTCCAGACAACATTCCTGTCACAGTCTTGCAGAATTGTTCTCCAGAACTTTCTTCAATTCTCTCTAAACTATTTAACAAGTGTTTGACTGAGTCTTGTTTTCCTGCTTGTTGGAAAATGGCATCTGTGGTTCCAATATTCAAAAACTCTGGAGAAAATTCTGACCCCTCCAATTATCATCCAATCAGTCTTCTTTCTGTTATTAGCCAGGTCTTTGAGTCTTTGATCAACAAATTCCTCACATCTCATCTTGAGTCAAATAAACTACTGTCAGACAATCAATACGGTTTTCGATCCTCTTGCTCTACGGCCGACTTGCTAACTGCTGTAACTGAAAGATTTTATCGTGCATTAGATGGAGGCGGTGAGGCTAGGGCTATTGCTCTCGACATATCTAAAGCTTTCGACAAAGTTTGGCATGCTGGTCTTCTCCATAAGCTTGCTTCATATGGTGTTTCTGGGAAAGTTTTTGAGATTATCAAACCATTTCTTTCTAACCGGTTTTTTAAAGTCATCCTTGAAGGCCAACACTCTTCTTTATTTCCAGTAACTTCTGGGGTTCCCCAAGGTTCCATCCTGGGCCCTGTTTTGTTTCTTATCTACATAAACGATCTTCTTGACAACCTTTCATCTAAAGTAGCTCTTTTTGTTGATGACTCAACTTTATACTCCTGTCTTGACAAAAAGTCTTCTCTTTTCGATTGCCTAGAACAAGCAGCTGATCTTGAATCCGATCTCACTTCAGTAATAGATTGGGGTTCACAGTAGCTTGTGAATTTCAACTCTAAAAATACCCAGTTGCTTTCTGCAAACAACTACCGTAATATGGTCAACATTCCTATATTAATGAATGGCAATCCTCTTACTGAGTCCTCCTCTTTACGTCTTCTTGGATTATCGCTTACTACTGACCTTTCATTGAAACCATATATACAATCCATTGCTAAATTAGCTTCTGCTAAGGTTGCTTCTCTTTATCGTGCTTGCCATTTTCTTACTTCTGATTCCATTATCTACTTCTCCAAATCTCTTATTCGTCCCTGTATGGAATACTGTTGTCATATTTGGGCTGGTTCTTTTAACGATTCACTTTCTCTTCTTGACAAGGTCCGAAAACGCATTGTAAATGTTGTTGGACCTGGACTATCTGCTAAGCATGAACCTCTTTCCCATCATCGTAAAGTTGCATCTCTTTCTCTTTTCTACAAATACTATCATGGTCACTGCTCAAAGGAGTTATCATCTCTAGTTCTATCAACTAAAATTCATTCTCGTTTTACTCGTCATTCAGCTAAGTCTCATTCGTTTACTGTATCTGTCTTTGCATGCTCTAAAAACTTTTATTCATCTAGTTTTTTTCCCCGCACTTCAATCCTTTGGAACTCTCTCCCATCTTCATGTTTTCCTGACTCATACAACCTTCAACTTTTCAAGTCTTCTGTCAACCGTTTCCTTGCTCTATAACTCTGTTCTTTTTTTTTTCCTAGTAACTCCCAACTTAATAGTGGTTGCTTGCAGCCTTGTTGGGAGTGAATGCAAATTAAAAAAAAAAAAAGTTTGACATAAATAGAAAAACCTTAATTATATGTGACACAGGAGATAATTTTTGTGCTCCTAGTTCTAGCTCCAACTTCTTTTGCAATTTTGAATTTAACTTCTATGATTAACCCATATGGTCAGCTTATCACAACTCTTTAAAATGTGAATGAAAGTCATAAGAATATTGAGGTACATGTGAAAAAACTATACATAAATTTAATAAATCTAGCTAAAAATTGATTTTCAGTGTATATTAATGGTAGTAAAAATGAGCACTTTAATGTGATCTTATTTTTAGTTCCACATTTTAGCTTTATTAAGGAAGTCATTTGTAAATGCTCTAGTAGTCAAACCTATGGTTGCAATCATTGCTATTTGCCAATTTCAGACTGAGCCTCCATAAACAAAAAGATTGGTTCTAATCAATCAATTACTGATATGCAAGAATGTAGAGAACATGCAAGAGTTGAACTTAGACCTAAACCTAGCAAAGATTCAGCACAATATAAAATTTATTTACTACCTAGTACTTTGAATACAAA